GGCAGGTCAATGAGAACATCTGCATTCTGATCCTAGAGTAAAAATAAAAGGTGGCATTTCAGACCACTGCAGAGGTTCCTTCAGTCCCTCCAGAGGCTGTGTTTTGTGATGCTGATGACGGTCTTATACATGAGCAAACCGAGGAACCTGGACAGTCAACGTAATGAGCCAACAAGGTTTGCTTTTCCAATGCTCAGAAATCACTGAGTAGGATCGTGGCCGGAATCGACTACTGGTAAAAGGCTGAGATGAGTGTTGTTCTCCTAGAGGATTGCAGACCATTTCTGCCTGCAGGGCATCTCTGCTGAAGGGAAATAAAATCAAATGCTGTGACATTTGTGGTCATAGGGCTCCTGGGTTCCTCTGGACCGTGCTGTTGAGGAAAGGGTGCCTGGTCTGAGATGTGCCCAAAGAGATTTGCAGAATTGAAACTGACTTTCAGTGCCTTTAAATGCAGAGACTCCCAGTGGACAGGTAGAGGGTAAATGTTCAATAATGAACAATTGTAAAACTTCTGCCATGACTGGCCTCAGTATGGCAGTGCTGCACAAAAATCTATCTCTTGACTTGTTTAGTTGGCTTGGTGTCTGTCCTGGGAGAGATACAAGGTGATGGGAGGAAACAGAGGACACAAAGAAAGCTCCTTCAGTTATTCTGTGGAAGGAGTGTCAGAGCCTCCTTCGTGGTGAATGTGCTGGAAAACCACTGCATATCCCTTTCACTTGACGCCTGAGCTTTTGTTGAAACTGTGGTGGTGTGATGTGATGTACTGATGGGGTCAAGCCCCTCGAGTTCCTCACCTCTGGTGAGTAAGTTTCTGGAGGCTTCACAGTCAGGTTCCCCAAACCACTTCTCTGTGCTGGAACATAGGAACCATGAAGATCAGATTGTTTTTTGCAGGACACAGCTGCATCTCTGGGTAACACCTGTAGCCTTGATGCCTAGACCTGCTTTAGGTCTTACCTCAGTAAAAGCTTGTGCCGAGAATCTTGGTCCTTGTTTCTGTGGGCAAGGCCTCCATGCTGCTTCCCAGCATGCGCAGGCAGGGGAGATGATGTGCCTTCTGCCCTCACCCACATCTTCATCCCTTCCCTGCAAGACAAAGGTAGGATGCTGGTGTCCACCAGGGTTGGCTGCTTGCTCTCCCCGGTTCCTGCACAAGGCTGGCAGATGTTTCTTGTTTGCTGGAGCTGTGTGGCCCTGGCTACTGGGCTGGGAGCAGCTGCTGCTGCCAGGCGGAAGCACTCGGCGAGTCTTTCCTAGACAGCTTTGAATGGGAGCCAGGAGCCCTCTCACTACAGGAGAAAATCCACGAGGTCAGGAAATACAGCAGCGACAGCTCCGGCTCCACGCTGGGGCTGTTTGCTTGGCACGCGAATTCCAGATCTCCTCTTCCCAGATGGTGCTCCTGAGTGGCTCTCCTCCTTGCCATCTCACTCAGCTGTTGCTTGACAGCCCTTTGCGGCTTTTGGGGTGTGCAGTAACTGAGTACTGCAGAGGTGATAAATTTGGATAGGCAGGGGAAACACTAGGTGGTGACCTGGATCAGACCTTTCAGATCTGCCGAAGAATGGAAGAAGCTGCAGAAGATGGAAGAGGCTCTGTTCCTGCTCTGTGTGGAACTGGGAGGCTGTGCTTTTGTGTTTCCCTCTGTTATTTTGTGGTCAGCTCTGTGTGGGCTCTGTCTTAGCTGCTGAGTAATAGAAACTGGAAATCCTCACATCAGGAGAAGCTTTCACAACCAGTCTGTCAACGTCCATCTGGTGTGTCCCCAGCATGAGAATTTGGGGTGTTTGTTACAGTTGCTCTGACAGGAACACCATGCTCTCTTCTCTGCTTCTGGTTTTTAGGAAGCCAGACATTGTCTTTGGGATGGCTGTTCCATGAACCAGCCCCTGTGGTGGGGGTGGTGATGTTCATGTGGCATTGAGGAACAGCCACGCCTTTGTTGAAACCATGTGTGCATCGATGAGAAGCCTTGCTCTTCCCATGTTGAGGAGTAAAAAATGTGATGGGGAGCTATGAGATGGTGTTGGTAAGGTCAACTTAAGGATAAGATTGGCTGCCCAATCTTAGCAGAGTTTGGCCATATGGAAATTTCTGCTTTCCTTACAGCCTTTGGCCAGGTTGCTTCTTTTGTGGCATTCACACATGTTCTGCTGTGCAGTTGGGTCTGCATGCTGCCTGTGAGGAGCTTGCATTGTGGATCCTTTGGGAAAGGAAGTGAGCTCATCTGAACATTGATTTTAGCACACGTTAATTTGGGCAGCTCTCATGCCCAGAGCTGTCCCTCATTCTCCACGCTCTTGCTCTGCATTAGGACATGTTTTGCAGCAATGGTAGGAAACAGGTGGGTAGGCTGGACTTGCTATCCTCTGCAAGCTGCAGAATCTCTTCTGCCATTGTTGGGGCAGGGATGGCATGCAGAGCAGTGAAGAGTTAGCTGAGACTGGCACCTTCTAGGTATGGTGTGAGCAAACACCAACTGCTACAGAGTTCTTGTATGTAAATTGTCTGTGTGCTGGCCATGAGTAATGCGTTAGCAATAGGTCCTTTGCCCCTCTCATTTTCCCTGCCTCTTGGGTGGGTGTGGAGCAGGAAGACATGGGTCTGTGTTTCTGTGATGGAGCCAGATCTAAAAGCTCTGGGCTAAGGTGGTGATGTGCAGGGCTTGCTGGTGTGCAGCTGCCCCTCTGCTGTGCAGTGGAGCTCAGCTGTGGTCCTGAGCAGGGTAAGACCCTTAAGCTGACGTGGGTGACCACGTGGCCCCCACCTCCTCCTGCAGTGTAGACCAGAAAGCTGGTGTGGCTGTGTGGGCTAGGGGTCTTCTGAAGGGATAGGCAGTGCCTTCCACTGTGCTGGTCTTGAGGGAGGACCTCCTCCTTGAGAACTCATGTCTTCTCCTCCCTATATTGAGTCAAGGCTTTTCTCACTGCCTTATAGCAAGTCCTGTAGGCCTGGGCAGTTGTGTAGTCCTGCTTCATCATCAGCATCAGATACAGAGCAAGGTCCATTGTAGCCACTGCATTTATTTACAGCCACCATGTGTTTTGCTGGGGGTTGCAGATCTCCCTGCTCTGTAATGAAAGATGGGAGCTGGTTGCAGAGTTTCTTCAGACCCTCAAGACCCCTCTGTGTTCAGCTGTGAAGCTGTTTGCTACAGGAGCGATCCCCTCCTGGCCAGCAGTGTTGCTGGAGATGGTCAGTCAGCATTTGTTCCTCAGTCCCGGTTTCATCCTGTCACTGTCCCTCATGATAATTGTCTCTGCCCAGAGAGATAAGAAGCCTGGGGTGGGCATCTCTCTTGTCCCTGAGAAGCAGAGTATGTGAGAAGGTCATAGACGTGAGGGTATGCATTAATGGAGCAGAGCAATGTATGCGCTTAAGTTCTTTCCTGTAGTCTTGTTTTCAGTCTGCATCTCTTTCTTGGCTGCCAGTACAGAGGCACATCAGACTTTCCCAGGAAAAAGTGGCACATTTGGGTAGGCACCTAGGGTATGACATTATTTGCACTTCATTTTCCCCCTCCCATCACCACTTTTCCATGGTGTTTACTGCTTCTCCAGCAGTGAAGAGCAGCACAGCAACCAGAGGTCCTGGGTAGGGTTAGGGTGGCATCGTGTTTGTTATTTGGTTGCTCCTTGGCACCCCCTCCTTTGCCTCTCTTTAGGATCCTGGGTGCTGAGAAGGGCGTGAGCTTTGTTTGCCTTCCGACTACCGAGACAGTGGCTCAGAAACGGGCTTCGGGAAGAGGTGTTTGTGTCTGACTGCTCCCAGCTCGAGTGGGTGATGGAGTGGTTTAAAGTTGCAGTCAGGTGGGGATTGAAGGCAAAAAGTTCTGGCCTCCTTGCCATTAGATTTCTGCTGCGTTAGCAAATGCATTAAATGCAGTCTGGGTCTAGAGTGACCGTGTCCAGCACAGTTCATACCAGCTTCCAGAGTTTTGGGAGCACGGCTGGCAAGCCTTGGGAGGATTGAGTGATTTAACTGTCTGGGGTGGGAGCAAGGAGCGTGTTCTAATCCACGTGCAGTAGCGTTGCAGGCAGCATTGAAGGCTGACTGTCATGGGGAAGTGAGAGCTTGTCTTCCTGCTACCTGCTGCGTTTTGGGTGCCTTCCCCAGAGCTTGCAGATGGCAGCTGAGAATGAGTGTTGGACCCTGGAGTGACTTTCAGAGGGCAGGGCCTGCAGTCCAATGAGGATGGATTTCTATTTAAACCTTTGAAGTTTTGTAATCTTCCTGCAATAGTTCCTCTTTCTCAGTGGGCTTGGAGCAGAAGTTTAAGGGAGGAGCTGGGAGGATGTGAATTTTCTCCTGCTGGCGGGCCGTGGCAAGTACACAGTACTGCAGAAGTGTAGTTTGCTCATCCTGGCCCTAGTCATCATTTCTCAGTTAGAGCTTTTCATGGCAGCAGCTCTTTATTCCCTGTTGGGCATGCTAACTTCATCTCTCGGGAGCAGGGGTGCTCCTTCTGCCGGCCTCCCTCTCTGATGGCCAGCACAGTGGGAGGCACTGTTAGCTGGAGGATGGGCAGAGGGTATGGATGTGCCACTGTCTCAAACCTGCCATGTGGTTTGAGGTTTAATGCAGCCTTGAGGGTTGAAGACATGGCAGTAACAGCATATTTGGGTGGGGCTGGATGTTTTTCCCTGCTCCTGTGGGAATTGATATCCCAACCTCATTGGCCAAGGGTTTCAGATCTATCAAATGATTGTCATCTTGAGGTAAGGTAAATCAGGGACAACACTGAGCACTTCGGCAAAACCAGACCTCTTAAATCAATTACTTTAGGGGTTGATTTACACAGCATGTATCTCTGTCTTCTCAGTAACACCTCTTGAAGTTTGCTCAGGGAATCTGTGAAGTTTGCATTCAGACTGTCAGGCTGAAGGATTGCAACATGCCACAGGATAAACATAGTTTTGTATTCAGTTTGATGGATTATTTTGCCCATGTTAAAGTAACCTCTCCTAACATGGTGACCGTGTTTCTCCTTGCAGGTGGTGGTGCTCCTGGAAGTCCTGAGCTGGGGTCAGCTGGAAGATGACTGAATACAAGCTGGTGGTGGTGGGAGCAGGTGGTGTTGGGAAGAGTGCTTTGACGATACAGCTCATTCAGAACCATTTTGTTGATGAGTATGACCCCACAATAGAGGTAAGTGGCTTTGGGCACGGGGTCTGTCTTGTCTGCATGTTTTCCTCTTGCTGTTCTCCACCTTGTCTCCAACCCAGAGCATACTCAGTTTGGTCTCAGGTCTGAACTTGATTAGGAAGGTTCCTCTGCTCTGCAGAGCTATTCTGAGTCGCTACGTGTGTGTTCAGAGGTCACAGTGACCGACTTGTGTCTCCTGCAGAAGGATAGTGATGTCTGCTGAAGAGAGATGACACAGGAGGCAGCAGAAGCAGGCAGAGCTGGGCAGGTGCTGAGAGGCAGCACAAAAGTCCTCTTTTCTGATGAGATGACAGCATAGGGAGGGATTAAAGGTTTGGGATTGAAGAGCCATTTTGTGCCTGTGCTTCCATTTCTCCTCCTGCGAAATCAGAGTAAATATATTGACTTTTTCTGCAGGATATTTTGAGATTTACTGATGAAATGGATTTTATCAGAGCTTGATTGTATTATGTATGTCCTGCAGTTTGAGTGAGACGTGCCAAGCAGCTGAACTGTTGTGGTTCACAGAGTGCTGCCTCTGCTTCATCGCCAGGAGTTAGAGGTTGATGTGTGGGTTTTGCAGTCAATGTGGACGGTAGCACTGACCTGCCTAGCTCAGCAAACTTCCTGAAGAAGCAGGCAGGGACCCTGTGGTCTTCACAGGCTGTATGGGGGTAGAGGGGGATGTGGTCTTCAATATCCATTACACTATTCTTTTTTTTTTACTTTTTAAAAACATATTCCATTCTCTGTCTGCTATCACTGTAGCTAGTGGCATGTTAATTAGCCTCTGTGTGACTTACACCTTTGTTAGGGGAGATGTGGGTAGCAGCTGCTGCTCTGCACGAGGAGTAAGTCCATCCTGGGAAGGCAAATTGCAGCTCTGTCATGCCTCTTGGACAATGACCTCCCTGTCTGCAGTCCTAAAGAATTCTCTGCCAGATGCGTATAAATACAGCTGTGGTTGCTGCAGTTATTATTATCATAATGGCTAAAGGCCCCAGCTGGGACCAGAAATCTATTCTGGTAGGTGTTGTATGTGTAGTCCCCACCCTGAAGAGCTTACAACTTAAATAAACAAGCAAGACAAGGCTTGGTAGAAAGGCTGAAATAGTCTTACAATCCTACAGAAGAGAAGGAGAGCAAGCACTTAAAAAGCACATGCTATTATGTCATTTGGCCAAGGTCACCTAGAAAGTCCATGGCAGAGACTGGAATTTAATTTAAGGGCTCCTGAGTCTCCTTGCTTATGGATGCAGTTGCCTTGTTCTCCATCTCCTCTCCCCTCATGTGCTCGTCCCCAGTAGCTTTGTATACTTTTCTTAGAAACCCATTCCACATTGTTTTCAGCAAAAGAGCTGCTGATGGAGAGCAGCCTCTCTGGGGAGACATCTGCATGGATGAGTCCTCTCTTGGACCTTAGGTGGGCAGAGGCAGCTCTCACCCAGTGATGTGTTGGGTTTTGGCATCCTGTGTTTTTTGTCTCCAGCTGCCTGCCCCTTGTATGTACCCTGCAGGGAATTTTCTCCATGTAAACAGGCAGTGGGGAATGTAAACCTTGCATGGCATTTCCCAGCACACCCTCCTCACCCTACCCACTCCTGCAGTGCCCCGGGAGATGCCTGCTCTCTCCTCCCCTGTTCCCTCCGGCCCCATTCTGTTCTCCTCTTCCAAAAGCTCTTTAGCCCTCTCACCCCTGGTGCTTTTCCACCTGCAGGTCCCACCAACCCTGATGCCTTTGCAGCTCCCTTGGTTATACCTCCCTTCCCCTGCTACCCCAGCCATCTTCTCATACATTTTAGGAGACTTCTTTTAATTATGCTTCATTTTATGGGGATTTAGGACGCACAGAGAGCTACCTGCCAGCCATCCAAATGTGACCAACAAACCACCCTCCTGTGACTAAGCTGCTTTGGATCGTGCCCAGGAGCTGACTGTGACTGTTCAGCCAGCTAACAAGCAGCACAGCAATGCTGAAACGAGCAGGATAGAAGAGGGCAAAAAAGTGCATGGAGCAAAGGCATTGCCTATCACCCAAATGGACTGAGCTCAGGCTGTGCTGCAAAGGGCGGTTGTGAGTGGGTCAAGGTGCACCGAGAAGATGCTCCCCAGGGCAGGAGGGTTTTGTCCCCTGTCTGGGGCAGAGACCCTGACTGGATGCCTGCTCCCCTCCTGCCCTTCTGACTCACTATTGCAAACATTTGGCTCTGTAACTCCACACTGTCCAACCCACGACAGCACACGCTCGCATGCCTACTCTTTTACTGCTGAGAAACCTTAAGACCTTTATTTTGGGAACAGGAGGGCCAGGGCTCCAAGGAAATGTATGCTACTGGCATTGTCCCATGGTGAATAAGCGGGGATGGAGTAAAGAATTTCACTGTGTTGAGAAATTCTTTGGTTCATCTTCCAGCTTCTAGCAGCTGGCTAGTAGTGGGCTTCCCAAGCCTCTGATCATATCCTGACTGTAGCGTTTGACAAGTGGACATCTTGGCCTGGACCCCCAGCACATCCGGTACGCTCCCAGCATCTGCCTGGGATCCTGAGTCTGAACGCCAGACAGATGTTGTTTCTGCTGCCTGGCACTTCACAGCTGCGTCTGGCTGCTTTCCCCTCTGCATGAAGGTAGAGTAGGATATGGGAGGCTGCAGAGGAGCATTGAGGCAGGGTGCTGATGTAGGCTGGTGGCAGCTACCCCTGCAGTGGCAGCCAGGTCACCTGGCAATGTGGCTGAACTGCCATCCTGAGGCAGGGTTTGGATGAAGCTGTACACAAAGCAGTGATGGGGAGAGCTTGTCCCCTTCCTTTGCAGGAAGCAAAGCATCCACTGCAAGGCAGTTATGCTTTTGCCTTGTAAGCAAGCTGGCTGGCCTCACGGGCAGCCTGTTGATGACCTGAGCTGAGGTGTGGGATCTCTCCTCCGTCTGCATGCTGTATGCTTGAGAGACCTCCTGTAGCTGGGGACTCGGCAATTAATTGTGAACACGTGTGCCAAGAGGCTGGTCCTCTGTACGCAAGCCAAGGTGCAGGGGTGGGAGGATGCTTTGCTGGGCAGAGCAGGCACTAGGGTCCCCTTGCATCAAGGAGGCTCCAGATACATTATTGATTAGAAATGGGAGCACATTCCTGCAGGGCGGCCTGCCAGTTGCCTTCAGAGTGGTTGGCTGGAAGCCAGCCCATCACTCAGTGTTTATTCTCGATGGGTCAGCAGTCCACTTTTTGGGAAGGCACAGCTGAGAAGGTCGTGGCAGAGCAGATCTCATCTCTGATTTCACAGCCCTCTCTGCAAGGTGAGGAAAGACTTTAATTAGTCCCAGCAAATGATGTTGTTTAGTAATGAACCAAAGGATGGAGGCTGTGTTGGCCCCATTCCCTTCCTGTGCTGCTGCTGGTCCTGTTGTGACCTTTGCTGTGTCGGCTGTTTGTCTGCAGACCTGCAAAGCTCATCTGATAACATTGTTGTGGTCACTGGAAGAGCAGCCGACATTTGAATTAATTTTAAACTGCAGCCGTAGCCTCTGCGAGTGGTTGCAAAGCACTGTTGTGGTCATACCGCTGACTTGCACCTTTTTCATATCTTTCATTTTGGTTTCCTTCTCTTGCTGGGGGTTGAGGATGCTGCACTGTCCACAGGGAATGGCTGTTAGAGAGGGAGGAGGCTGTCCTCCATGCAGGGGCTGCCCCAGCAGCATCCCTGCCAGCGGGACTGAGCACGGGGAGAGGCACGGTGGGAAGGAGCAGTGCTTTGAGGAGCCTGCCTTCAAAATGAAACCTTTGGAGGGACGCCCTAGGTGATTTCCAGGCCTCCTCACATCTGTGATAAGTTGTGATTGCCTCTGCTGCAGGGAAAACCCCCAACTTGAAAGGACCTGCCTGGATAGTTCTTGCCTCTCCTGGAGCCCTCTGGGCACAGACTGGTTGTGGGAAACACCCGGCTCACAGCATGATTTTATTTTATTTTTTTTCTCATGTTTAAGGAAGAGGTTTACTATCAAACCCAGTCTGCAACCTTACTGGTGGCATATTGCCTCCAGTGCCTGATCTGAGATGCATCAGAGGCACTGGATTTCCAGGTCATTTTAAACACCTTCTAGTCCTGCAGATTACAGATGGTGGCTGGAAGCCCTGGCTGGCTGGAGCCTCCTCTCCTGAGTGTCCCCTTCCAGCACCCAGGCAGGGTGGCAGCACAAGGGATTAGAACTGGGACTAAATAATGCTTAGGAAATAGTTGCCGAGGGTTGCAGTGTGGTAGAGATGAAGCTGCGCCTGGTCTGCCAGAGGCAGGGCTGGGAATGGGGAGAGCAAGCCAGGAGCTGTCTTCTCTGTGGCTCAAACAGACCAGGAGAAACCTGCTTAGCTACTCCCTTTTTCCTTTTTTTTTTTTTCGTTTTTTTTGTTGTTGTGGTGGGGTTTTTTTAAATTATTTTTCCTTTTCCTCCCATTTTTGAAACAGATTGAGTTGTCTCTTTAATGGAAGCTAAACGCAGGCCGAGCATGACCTGGCATCTTCCCAGCGATGCACTTGCTGCATCCCTTTGTTTAGCCGGACCCAAGCCCTCTCTTAATGCATCCTCCTCCCTTTTTTCCCTCTTGTGGCCTTCAGGATTCCTACAGAAAGCAAGTAGTCATCGATGGAGAGACCTGCTTGTTAGACATCTTGGACACTGCAGGGCAAGAGGAGTACAGTGCCATGAGAGACCAGTACATGAGAACGGGGGAAGGATTCCTGTGTGTCTTTGCCATCAACAACACCAAGTCCTTTGAAGATATTCACCAGTACAGGTCGGTATCCTGGGAAGGGCCCTTTCCCTCTTGCCCTGTGCAAAGGGGAGGCCTTGCCTCTGCACCCTCCTGCCCACCCTTTTAGATCAGGCCCAGTGGTGGAAGCACTGGCTGCCAGCAAAGACAATTAGCTCAAGTGGCCATTCCCCAGGGAAGAGACGGAGCAGACGGCTAATGTCAGTGACTCCAATAAAGCCCATCCGAAGGGATTGCTTGTGGCCTTTGGGGACTCGGTAATGTAATGTTTAAGTGTTTATGGTGACTAAAGAGAGAGCTGATCCTGTATGACCCCCTCCTTTCCCTCCCTAATTAGTGGAATTGCTTGGTTAGCGCAATCGATCTCAGGGACTTCAGCTGGGCCCTGGAGCTGGGAGAGGAGGCTGAGAAGGGCAGGGAGGGCTGCTTGCCCTGCTGTCTGCTGTTGTGATGAGGCTGTAGTCTGCCAGCTGCACACATCCAGGGAAAAGCAGTCCTGCCCCTTTGGAGCTTGGTTTCAACCAGGGCAAAGACTGAGTAGGAGGGGAATCAGGACCCCAGCGAGGTGATTTGCCCAAGACAATGTACAGGAAAGCAGTGACAAAGCAGGGACCTCATCCTGACATGGTCCTGCTTTGGCAGCACCTGAGTAACTCATCCCACTTCTCCTTGCTGACATCACCCCTGCAGAGCTGGAGAGCCAAGGAGGTGATACAAACACAGCAGGAATCTTTCCTGTTTATCCTGATGCTTAGGGAGGGATCGCTCTGCCTTGTGCCTTTTTCTGAGGCTTGGCTGTGATGGGAAGCACTTGCAGAGGATGCAAGAGATGGCTCTGCCTGTCCCTGCTCTGTGCACTGCCCACCAAGGGACTGTGTACCCCAGTCCCCCACCATAAACTGCCGTTCCAGTAATCCTGTTGTTCCAAGCACAGGCACAGCCCTTCCTTGCTCCACAGTCCAGAAGTGCTGCTCTGAGCTGTTTCAGTCTCAGCAAGCAGGCTGTTCAGTGTAATAGCTGCACAGGTGGACTAATTTGGCTTGTTTTAGCTGAACTGGAGGACAAAGGATGGGATTTTCCTAAAGCACCTGAGGGATTAAGCAACATTCATCCTTGTGCTGGGGCTGGTGCCTGTGCCGTTGCTTGCAGGATGGCACTATTTCAAGTCATCATGATCGTGATGTAAATCACTGGCTTTCATCTCCTTTAGCCTCTGCTCTTTGTGTTTGCACTTTTAAAGAATATTCCCCAGAGAAATGCTGGCTCTCCCTGGTTAGTAACCATTTGAAGATATCTCTTTTCAGCTAAGTGTAGCCTGTGCACTAAATTTAGTACTTGCATTTGCTGATCAGGATGTTACATGGAACATTTAGATGGCTTTATGGCATATCATGCATATAGTTAGGCTTCATTTCTATGTTCTACTTCATTAAAAAAAGATAATTGATTCTTTTGTGTGTGATATATGTCCAGCTGCCTTTGGATGGAAATTTGCATTAAATTAAAATGCAGAAATTGGCATTTTAAATAATGCTTTTATTAGTTAAATAAAACCATGTTAAATGTTCTTGATGCATGAGCAAAAAAAAAAGCTAAAGTTAAATGATTTATTAAGCAAAGGAAGTTATTATCTATCAGAAGGGAATTGGATGGATTGTTTGTGGTCATAATGGACTTTAAGAGTTTTAGAAGTGGTAGATCTCATCCTCGCCCACCTAGTTTTAGATCCAAGGTTGGAATGAAGAAGTGAGCATTACAGTTTTTTTAGTTCCCAATAGGTTTCTCAACTTTGAATGACCTGAACTAAACTGAGAGGGAGAAAATACTGCCTGTGCATCTGCAGAAAAGGTTACAGCTGCCAAAAGCTGCTCTATCAGCTCAGCAAATTCTGGTTGCAGTTGATTTTTTTATTGTTTTTATCCCCATTTTGGGGAGATTACTCGTTCTAAAATGTTGGAAGTAGTACAGGTAACTGCTCAAGAATTCATTTTTATTTAGCTTAAACTATCTTAAGGTCATTTCTTAATATAGATTGTCATAATTCAAGTTGTTTTGTAAATAATTGCAGTTAAAGAGCAGAAGTATGTTTAGTTTTCATTTCCAAAAGTGCCCTAGCTATTTTGCTTTTTATTCACTTGTGTGCCATAGTAATTTACATTTTCCTGAAAGCCCAGCACAAAGCACTTGACAGGAGTGAGGAGTAGCTGTTGATTCTTGACAAAGAAGCTGGTGGGGAGTGTTCTGGAGCTACCCCGATGCCTTTTCTCCCTTCACTTTGTCACTTCTTCCTGTTTCAGGGAGCAGATCAAGAGGGTGAAAGACTCAGATGATGTTCCTATGGTGCTGGTGGGGAATAAATGTGACTTACCAGCCCGGACAGTGGAGACTCGGCAAGCGCAGGACCTGGCCCGGAGTTACGGGATCCCCTACATAGAAACGTCTGCCAAAACCAGACAGGTAGGAGGAGGGTTTTAAAATAAATGTTCTTCTTGTTTTCTTTTCTCCATTGCTGCCCTGGAGTGACAGGAACAGGCAGACACCAGCTTGCAGACAGATGGGTGCAAGGGCTGGGGTTAGTTGCTTCTTCAAGGCTAAGTGCTTTATCAGGATGTTCTCTCCCCAGTCTGGGCTTGAGCCTCCAACCTGGAGAAATGCATAATTCATGCTCTGGCAGCAGTGATACTTTCTAAGGGCTTTCTCCCAGGCTCTAGAATAACCCCCATAGTCACTGCAGGTCAGCTAGGCTCAGGGGCCTTGGCTAACCTCGTCCGTGGTCTATTTTGGCAGATGTACAGGCAGAATATACCAGTGCTGGAAGGACCACATGGGGCTCCCAGAGCACAAGGGTGGAAATGGAACAGCTGACACCTTCAGTGGTCCAGTGGTGGCTTTTCTCTTGGTGGTAGACCTCATTCAGACTGCTGAAAGCTGATGAAACCCAGGGACTTGAGAGCTCTTTGGCCTCGTGGTTGCTCATTCAATATTGCTCTCTGTTCGAGGGCCACACTAAGGTCCTTGTTAAGTTTCCCCAGCTTGGTTTTCTACCTTTAGCTCTGCAATTTGCACTGCTGGAAGACAGGGCTAGGAACACCTTGCTGGGGAGCAGAACCCTTTCTTCTCTCCACTGTCCCCTCTCAAAGCAGGCAGCTGCTTGGAGTGATGCTTTTTTCCCCAGGGCGTTGAGGATGCCTTCTACACCTTGGTGCGGGAAATCCGTCAGCATAAACTGCGCAAGCTGAATCCCCCAGATGAGAGTGGCCCTGGCTGCATGAACTGTAAATGTGTGGTATCGTGACTATGGTGAGTTGTGGAAGCAAGAGATGTGGTGCAGTGGGGTTATATCGGTAGCAGGCAATGGAGTGCCATGGAGATACGTCGGAAGCAGGGCAGGTGGTGACCACAGATGGACTCCTCTGCAAACAAATGCAGCAGAAACAATTTCAGCAGCAGATACTTTTTGAATGAAACACCTTTTCATTGAAATAGCAATAGTCAAAATTCCCACTTTCCTGGGGAAAAGGGGGAAAGGAAGGCGTTGTTTATTTCCCCCCCATTTTGTACAACAAGATTCTATAGAACTGAATTTTTTTTAAAAAGTGTGTTTTTTTGTGCTTTCCCCAAGAAAGCTTGTTCCCATGTTGCTGCTCTGAAAGAGAAGTTAAGCTGGTGTTGAAGCTGTACAGCTCAATGCCTGCTCACCAGACTGGCTCTAGAAGAGTTCAGATGAAGAGCTGGGTGGGTGCATTGCCTTCTAATGCACTCATGTAAATTGCCTCATCCTAAAGCTGTAGAGCAGACCTGTCTTGCTGTGAAAGTCCTGTGTTCCTCAGAAGAGTTTTCCCCATTAGATGTTTCCCCTGGGATATTTGCAACTGATGCAATGTTGAGAATTAGCCATAAGGGGGCTGTTTTGCTTTTATAAATTGTGTGTGCTGGAGCCAGAAACAGCGTTTTTCAGATTGTTTATGTTCACTTGCCTCTTTTTCTTCTTTTTCTTTCCTTGTTATTTTTTTTTATGATGAGTTTATTTAAATCATTGCAATCCTGCTGGATAGCAATCAGGGAGAGCTCCTGTTGTTGTCCCTGCATATGCTGGCTGGTCTTAAGCCAAAGGCCTGGGAATATCTGTCTGTGGAACCAACTTTTTCCATGGCAGAAGTGGAGAGGGGGGCAATTGGGGATGAGATCTATATCTAAAGGCATCTGGGACTGGGATGTGGGAGAAAAGCCTGCATGAACATTCCCCTAATGTTTTTTGGGGAGACTCCCAAGCACCTGGATTGGCCCTTCACCCCTCTAAACAACTTCTGGAGTCCTAAAGAGAAGTGCATTATATCCAGAGATGGTGCTAAGAGGGTATCCTGAAGGTGGAGGTGGTCAGCTGGTGGTTGCCTCTGTTGCTTTTTGAGCCAAAGGCCGTGAGCACAGCAGAGCTCTTCCTCCTGCCCCCCACCTCCCAAAAAAAACCCAGCAAACAAAAAATGCTGGCAACATTTGCTTCCTATGAGCAAAAAAAACACCCAAGGACCCCACCCCTCTGCTCCCAGCTGAGGCACGTGAGGTCATCTGGGGGCCGAGCCAAATGCTGTGCCCAGCACACTTATCACTACTAAGGGAGATTTTCCAGATGTTTGGGTCCTCCAGATGTTCAGGAGCGTTTCCTCCGGATGGGGATGTGAGCTCAAGGCTCATTTCCTGCTCTGGCTCACAGCTGACGGCATGGGCTTGGCAGACACTGCTGCTCCCTTACACTGCCAGGAGCCTAGTCCTTGTCACAGCCCAGTGGTGGCACTGGTGTGGGCAAGAAGGGGAGGGAAGGAGTCTCTTGGAAACATTCCTCTCTCTTAAAAGAGCATGCCCTGTGAGTTGCCCAAGTCTTTTTCTGCTAAGGCAGAAACTGGAAACCAGACATCCCAGCTTACTCTAGCTGCAGTGGCCGAGAGCAGAGAGGGAGGAACATCAAAGCACAAAGGGAGAAGCGAGGCAAAGACATGCTGGGATTTGGGGAGGGAAGGGGTGGGTGTGTGGCCAGGGAAGTTTGGTTGCATTTGCCCTGGATTCACTTTGTGGTTCCCATCATCCTTGGAGGACGGGGGAAGATCTTGCCAAACAGTGCCCCTTCCCACAAGGAGGTTCAGGCAGAGGCAGAAGGTCTGGGGGGGTGCCCAGGGCTCACCCATCACTTCAAAGCTTATTCCCTTCAGCAGATGTGCAGATGCTTTGCTGAGCCAGGCTCAGGCCTCTGAGACCTGTGCAGCCTTTTGCTTTTCTCTGTGGGCACTAGCAGGGTCATCCCAAAATGTGAGGGGTGAGTAATGGAAACAGCCCCGATGGTTCTGATGGTGAATGGGTGCTAATGAGTGTCCTCTTCTGGTTTCAGCTGACTGGACCGTGTCTTGGAGAGGTTCCCACTGTGCAGTGCACAAGGACAGAGGTGAAGCAAAGGAAGAAGGAAACGGATTCAGAGGAGGAATATGGGGGAGGGGGAGAGGAGGAGGAAGAGGACAGGGTGAGCATGAGCCCTCCAAGGACTATCTCGCACTTCACCCAAGCCTGCGGCAAACAACATTTTTTCTTTTTTTATCCCCATCCCCCCATCCTTTGGCGTCCTCCCACCCCGGCAACTGTACAAAGCCACAGATTGAATCACAGTAAATTATTATTTGATGGTCTCGACAAATCATCTTGATGGCTGTGTTCTCCTTCCAGAGGGTGCTACTGCTGGTGCTCCTGAAGGATTGCTGATGGGATGGCAGGGAGGAAAAGGTGCTGATATTTGCTCTCTGCAGACCAAGGTCATGCTGTAGATCATGAAGGTGATTGGGGTGGGAAAGACAAGCTGCCTTTCAGGGCAAGACAGCTTCTCTTTGTCTCCAGCAAGTTGTTGTCATGGTCCCGTCACCTCCAGCCCACCTGAAACTCTGCTGGCTCCAAGTTTTGGTAGGATGGAAGAATCCGACCAGTCCAAGCCTGTCTTCGGTGCTCCCTTGAGTGCCTTGCTTTCAGCCTAGTTCTTGTGTGATTTTTTTATGGCCTCAGGTGCAATGCCTGGAAGGAAAGAAGCAATGGGGAGGAGATCCAAAAGCCTAGTTCACTTCAGCTGGTGCCAGTTAGTTGCTTCTGTGACTTTTTTCCAGGCAGCTCTTTCTGGCACAAGACCTCCATAATGTGTTGTGCTCCAGAGGTAGAATTAGGCCTTTCTGGTCCCCTCCAGCACCTAGCTAGTGCTAACACCTGTATAGTACATACACCTCAGGCTGTTCCAGTCTGTTGGCAGCGTGTAAAAGTATGCAAATCCTCATCTGCCCCATGCGTGGCTTCACTACTGGTGAGCACGTAGAGAAGGGCTTTCCTGCACTGCAGACAGCTGCCCGGCCGCTCAGCAAGTAAGACTAGAGGATTCAGGCTTCCAGTCTTGGGTTTAGAGTGGGTAAGAGTGTTTTGGATAAGGCTAATGTGTTGGGAACCCCATCTTTGCTCACCTCTGCTCCTTTGTGATTTTTGCCTGAGCTCTGACCCGTGTGCTTTTCACTCGCAGACCCAAGATGAGGCACTGTGCTCAATACTGCGGGTGGCTCAGTACTCGCTGCCTTTCCCTCTCCCAAGCTATTGCACATGCTAATTTAGCTGGCATCCAGAATAAAGAGCACCGAAGGGGGAAAGTGATCCAGCTGAGTGTGGCAGAGAGCTGTTCTGCATGGGCTAGCCCAGGCCTGAAGAGGTGCTGGGTTTGGCAGCCAAGGCCGGTCAGGGTTGGGAGTGGCAAGGGCGGTGTGTGAGTCACATGCTTCATATGGCAAATCTGGTACAGAAACCCTGGTCACCCTCAGCACAAAGCCACAGCCCACCCAGGGGTTCCCAGCATCCATGTGAATAGCCTCCATCCCACTCCTCATCCTCCCTCATGCCAGGCAGCAGCAGAATTAAAGCAGCAGAAATTCAACTCCCATACTGCTTGGAGGTGCTGCCTTTGCTTTTGACCTGGGCAAGAGAGGACTTGTGCTAATGGCTTGGGTTTTTGTACATGCCTGCTCCCGAACTGCTGTGGGGCACAGCCCCCACCCCGGCTGCAGCTGCCTGGCACCCTGTTCCCATAGGAGAAGGACTGATACCAGCTGGAGTGGGAGAAGTTGCCCAAGGGAAGAGCTGCCCTGCCTTTAGCTGGGTGTGCTGTTTGCAGCAGCGCCTGTCCCTGTGCTGTAGGAGTGCTAAAGTTGCTGAGTCTGGTATTACATGGTTGGACTGGACCAGAGGCTCCCAGAAAACCTCCCAACCTAAGTTGTTTCAAGTGTGAAGCCTGGAAGAATGGTGTTTGTTCCTAAGTTGGTAGCTTGTGTGCAACTGCCCATGGGGCAGAGGGCTGGGATACTTTGTCCTTCTAGAAGATGACTAAAAGCCTTAACAGTGAGGTGGGTTGACATGGGAGCCCTCGCTTGGTGGTGTTTCTGCACTAGGAACCTGGTGCTCTTTATCTGCGATAGAACTTCTCCCATCCTTCACCAGGCCTTTGGTGAAGGATGGGATAGCTGTATCTGGAGGCCTGCAGATGAGAATTAACACTATGTCTGGGGCTCTCTCAATGACTGGACTCTGGATGGCTCTAACCATGGAGAGTATTCTCTCATTTCTGGTTGGGAGCCAGGTGCCGCAGTGAAGGACTGGGAGCTGTGGTTAAGCAGCTCCTCTGGGGAGCTCCTGGGAGCACCAGGAATGAGGTGTCTTCGCAGGGCAGGTACCAGCTACAGTCACAAGAAACTGGCATGTCTTGGTGAGGGTGTGCTAGAGTGACACTGGCCAGAATGCAAACTACTTCAGCAGCTTGGTCGGGAGCAGGAAGCCAAAGTGGGAGCATCTCCCTTTCAAAGCGGTTTCTGCACTCCTCAGAGTAAGGTTTTCCAGCTTGTTCAGGAAAGCTCCATGTCTGATCAAGTTACATATGTTATCACAGCTTGTTTGAGCACCTGCTAGTTGCACTGGGCTTCTGCAAATGGCCCCAAGAGTTCTTCAGCAGCCAAGGTCTCCCTTCACCTTGGTGCAGGTGGTAGGATAGTGCTATGACACGACAGCATTTCAGAAATCCAGTGGTCAGGTAAGAGGCAGAACTGGAGACAGCAAGCATCTGAGGAGGACCTGGCTGATAGGTAACATTCTGAGTCTGGCAGTTCACAGACCAATCTTTGCAGGCTTGTGGATTGCACCCAGCAGAAGCAGCCAGGACCCTTTTTCAAACAGTGCTGGTCAGTAACATGATCATCTCAGGAGCTGGTTAGCCTTTTGCATTAATTGGAAGATCACAAGAAACTCCAGCTCAGGGTCAAGTCCATGCTGAAAGTTGGAGATAGTTTGGGAGCAGAAAGGTGCTAAAAACTTGACACCACAGCTCTTCTCTGGAAATCATGTATTAGTTGTGTATTAATGTAGTGCTGCATCTTTGTTTCCAGAAGGAGAATCATGACAGATCTTCAATATGCAGTAAGATAGCTCCACCTGAGAGAAGTGACACAATCTGTTTTTTGCCTACAGCAAAGATCAGATCAGATCACAGGTGATGTGTTACTCTGGATTTGGCTTTTTAACTTGCTACCTGGGTGCTGGTAATTTCGGTACAGGACAGCAACTTGCTGGCTATGACAGGCAGAAGGTCAGTATATGAGCTCATGATGTGTTGTCTGCTTGCTAGCTGAACTTCTCAAGTCTGAAAGTAATGTCAGAATTTCAGTTTCACTGGAGTGAATGTAGGCCTGGAGAAGGAATTGTGGGGTTTGGAGTTGATTTTCCCCATAGTTTTTTAAGGCACATTTGTTCTAGAAGTACATGGACTGGAGGATGCAGTTTTCAGACACTCCTTATGACAAGGAGTTTGTTGCCTATCTCAACTCTGCTTCTGTGGCACAAGCTTAGGTGAGCAGAATGTACAATTATTCTGAAGGGCTGATCCTGTTGCATAGCTGGAAGCTGCAGGAGTCCACAGAGGAAAGCTTTTTGCTATATTTGACGCATCAGCTCACGTTTGGCTGTTGTGACCTCTTCAGCTGGTCATGGCAAGGCTAAACTAAACTTGGTGCTGTTCTCCAGCAAGTGTGAGCACCACTTCTGAGAAGGCTTCAGTCATCCTACTGATTATCTGTTGACACTGCATCTCCTGTGATGAAGGAGAGCCACCTTTGAACCTGTTCGTAAATGACAGAATAGCTGACGAGGTCTGTTCTAGTCTGGTCAGGTACACATGTCTCAGGATGTATAATGTATGTTTTTTTTCTCACATCGTTCAAGAGCCTCACACCCTATTACAGAGGGGTTGGGGCTCTAGAGACATCACAGCTGAGTCAACTGAGATAATTGCTTACAAGTCCTTAAAGATGCTGATTAAATGCTGGAACAGATCTCATGCCTTTTGGTCTCCTAGGGCTTCCACAGAAGCATTTTCCTAAGCCAGCAGAGATGGTGACGCCAAAACAGATGAGCACATGGTGCTTGCTGAAGGCTTTGGCAAGCACCTTGGTTGAGTTTTCAGGAGCTGGCAGCAATGGCTCATTGCTGGAGTGAGACCTGACGTGATGGTAGTGGCAAGGGTAGCTGAATGAAAGGCTTGAGTTTTATGGAGAAGCCTTGGCTAAATGCTGGCCTCATCCTCCTCACCTGCAGTCTGGTTGGGTAAAGAGGAGCAGACCAGGTTTCCCTTCTGGACTACAGCCACTGCTGCAGACCTTTTCAGCCTAAGTGGTACTTCCAAATGGCACTTTTTGCCTCCACCTGGAGCCATAAAGGTAAGCAAAGCCACTCCAAGAACCAGCTTCCCCAAGCAACCGCCTGCCTGAGGTTATCTAAGTCTGTCTGCAGGCTTAGGTATCCCAGGGGCTGGGCTCTGATGTGGAGCCAGGCTGTGGCCTCCAGGGCACTAGAGTGGCCCAGGCTCTTAATGGGATGGTTAGAAGCAGGGACTTGTGGTATTGCACCCCATCTATCCACAGGTACCTGTAAGGGACCTCATACCAGTTTTGGACCAAAATGGAAGTTTCTTAGTTTACCTTTCTGTGTGTCTTAGGAGGAACCTGATTTACTATGTGCAATAATAGGTCTCAATAAGCCAGGCTTTAGTGACTTCAGTCCCTCAGATTCATGTCTTTGTGTGTGCCTTCAAAGCCATCTCTGTCACCATCTTGGGCTCATTTGTAACTGCTGCCAGTGAGTGAGGATGCTTGTGGGATGGGACCACCTGCTGCATCAACTACTGAGATACTATTTCAGCTCTGGTTTGCTTGTCTCCTGTACTGTCCTGGTGCCCACATCCTTCTAGGTGAACAGGATCCTGGTGTATGCCCTGTGGGCTTCCTCAGCTGCTGAGGTTGTAGGATTGGGGAGATGGTTTGGGAGGGGGTCAGACCTGCCTCTTTCAATTGCTAGGCTCTTCTTTTCTCCATGTGCTGCTTTGTAGATGATGTGCTGTAAGAAGGAGGTGACATTGCTCAGAGGACCCCCAGCAACGGTGGGAACTGAGACAGGCAGATGGGGCTGGCCCCAGGTGCAGCTCCTTTCCCCTTAGGGCAGATGGGCCCTGCTCTCTGTGTGTTGAGCACAGGGTCTGTGGCTTAGCAGACGAAAGGTAACAGCCCCAGCCATGGCTGCTGGGGCTGGGGGTGCACACCCTGTGCTCTGTGTGCCCTCGCTCTGCTCTGCAACCCCCAGCCACCACTGCCATGGCCCCTTTCAGCACAGGAGAAGCACATGAGCAGTGCAGCAGGACACAGCAGCAGGTGAGCAGCACAGTGGGTGAAGAGGAGGAACACTCCCAGGCCCAGCCAAACTCTGACACTGCCCCTCGGCCAAACTGGCTGGGGCACAAAGCTGCCAGACACAGCACACCGATCTCTCTCCCCCCACTACATCCTGGGACCAGAGCCTAAACCAGCACAAAGCCTTGCTCCCTCCCTCAGGTTGGCTCTGCTCCAGGCTCCACTTAGCATCAATTATTCAGTGCCGACTGGCTGAAGCCTTGCAGAGGCACACAACGGGGCTTGATGAGCTTTCCATGTCGTGGGTGGTGGGCAGGGAGGCTGAGGAGCGCAGCCATGGCTTGGCAGAGACCCAGCAAGCAACAGGGACAGAAGTGGCCACCTGCCTGTCCCAGCTCCTGGCACTGCTGGTTTGGCTGTTCATGAGCCAGGAAGGACAGGAGCCATACGGGGCTGCAGGGCACCGTTGCTGAGCACAGCCTGGGGAGTCTGCAGTTCTGCCTTGGGGTCGTTTCTGGGCAGGAATCAGCCCTGGGAACTGGAGAGCTGGTGTAGAGTTCTCTGAAAGCCATGACGAGAGCAGTGGCTCCACCAGGGAAAGGGTGATAGGAAGTACTGGCAAATACCAAATGCAGGGAGAGAAGCTGTGGGAGGACCAGTCCCTGGCTGACAAGGCCATTAGAATTTAGGCAGCAGTCTCAATACCTTCTACGGAGTTCATTTGCCACTGGTTCCAGTGCTGTCCAGCAAGTGGATATTGGTAACGTTGGGCTTTGGGACTGCCCTGCTCTTTGTCCCCTGCAAGCAGCAGCCAGGCCCTGGGGGGACACAGGAGAGGGCAGGAGGTGCTGCTTGACTGATGCAGGGGCTATCTGCCCTCCCATCCTATTAGGGACATGAGTACTTTCCGTGCAGCAGGGAGCATGCCGTGGCCTCGTGCTCCTAGCACCAGCTGGAGGCCTGGCATTTAGCCTAGGCTGAACACCAGGCAAGGCATATGTTTACCCTGAGGTAAGGGATGGAAGTCGTAGGCTTACCTGGTAAGCAAGTCCCAGGGAGGTCTCCCCCTGGGGAGGACTCTCTGCAGTGGGTGCTTGGCATCCCAAACCCCTACCTGTGACCCCCATTAAGCACCAATTCAAGGCTGGGCACTGCTGTGGCTCCTGCATTAGCTGAAAGGATGCTGTCAAGAGGACGTGGTGGAGCCCTGCCTGTCCCTGGTCCTTGCAGGAGCAGGGTGAGAGTACCCTGCCACAGCCAGGAGGCCACAACTGGGCACATACATGGAGTGTGGGAATCAAGGATACCTGTAAGCAGTATCTTACTCCATTTTTTTTTCCAACTACCAAGTGAACCAAGGCTGTTTAACAGAGGAACACATCCCTCAAACCTAGCACAACTCACCTACCCTGGGGGAAACTCTGCCCTTCTGGACACTTCTGCTCCCTCTTTGGCAGGGAGGCTGTTCCTGCAGTTGGATAAATGCCATCTCTAAACCCTGCAGTGCCTGTCATTTAGACAACCATGGCAGATGTTCAAACCTGGTCCCACCTGGCTGCTTCCTCCCCACCACCTGAAAGCCTGCTGGGGCTGTTGGCTGGGAGGTGACACAAAGCAGCTTGTGCAACCAGACTGCTTGTGGGTGCCTGAAACACAGAAGGGACAAGGTTTGCTTCACTCCAGCCCATGGATGTCTCACCCATGCTCATGGTGGCACTTCCCTGGGCTGGCATCCAGTGTGAAATGGCATAGGAGATGTGCCAAGAGCTGCATCCTCAGGGCAGTCCTGCTCCGTGGTGTTTACTGGTGCAAGTTTGGTTTTTTGGTAGTGTCGCAGACCAGTTTTTAAACAGTTAATGTAAATTAGCTAACTTAAAGACACTGGAGAGCAAGATAGGAGCATTTTTTTTCCTATTTGACCTCTTTTACGTGAGACACAGCAGTGATAGAAGCAGGAATACCAGCCTACAGCACCCAGCAGGTGATACACAGGGATGCCAATTTCCTGCACTACTCTTAAATCCTAGGGTGGCATTTAGGTAATCCTGGCCCCTCCAATTGCTGTCGGTCTTTGTGCCCTCTGTGCTACTCTGTCTCTCTCTGGCAGAGACAGATGCCCCTGTGTTTACTATAAACATGTTGCTTAAGAACAAATGGCAGCTTTCTCTTAGGGAAGCCAGAATACTGCTCACATTTAACACCCCAAAGCCAACAGTACCATGGTCATTTAAGTGCAGGAAGCCCTGGCTACGAAATCTGAGGTTTGTCAGAGGTACTGCTCACACACAGCTTTGTAAAATTCATCTTCAGCTGTGAGCAGCCCCACCTTACGTTCCCAGTGACTGGTGTAAACGTGACTCAGTCCTGACTCATGAGTTGCACCCACCCACCCACCTGCTGTGCAAGGAGCTGTGTCCACCCCGCTCCCTGTCCTGTCCAACCCTCCTAGCACTGCCTCCGGCCAGGAAAACAAACTCCAAACACAAAATCTTGGCCAAAAAAGAAGCTGCAGAGGGGCAGCTGGGCAAGGGGCCATGTGTCAGATGGGATGCGCAGGAGCTGCAGGCAGGATACTGCCCTTTGCTCAGGTGGCAGAGGACAGGGCTATGTGGGATGAAGCATTTTTCTTTCCACTGCTGCTGGGGATGCCTGGATTTAACTACAGTAGAAAAGTCAAGAGGAAAGCAGAGATGAAGTAGGAGGGACCCTCTGCAGCTGAAGCTTACCCAGGGAACCAGGCTAAGACTCAGGAGAAGGCAACCAGTCTTGCTGCAGCTTCTGTCACTGTAATAAACTTCATGGAGTCTGATCTTATGCTAAACTTCTTTAACCATTATTATTATTATTACAACCATGTAAAACACAGCATCAAATACTTTGGACAGTTTGTATCAGCGTAAAAAGGAATGATAACTTTTTTTCCCCGAAAAAAACTTCCTTTGAAATAAAAACCACACAGGAAAAAAAGCAAAAAAAAAAAAAAAGCACAGACATAACAATGTTTTTTTTAAAGTAATAATTATAATACATTAGAAAGAGTCACAGAGGAAGCGTTCCACGCTGTAAACAAGAAAAGCAATTAAAAAGAAAAGCAGATGGTAGCCAGGCTCTCAAAGTGAGAAACCCTGACCTCAACCACAGTCCCATACTGGAACTCAACTCCATGGTTCCTGCTGCCCACCGATGCTGCAGCCACTCAAAGTGCTCAATCACAAACAAACAACAAAAACAAACCAACCCCAAAAAACCCCAAACCCACAACACTGGTCTCTACATTGACATGGAAGACAGCAAGGCAAGAGTTGTCTCAGGGCTGCGAGGGCTAAGACGGGGGTAGCTGCTTTCCCAAGTTTGCTCACAGTAAGAGTGCCTTTTGCCAAGGGGCTGACACTGTTATAAGAGGCTGGGCAGGGGGCAAGTGGCTTAGACCAGTTAATTTGGTAAGAGGCAAGTGGCTTAGGCCAGTTAATTTGCCCTGCTGAGCTGCCACCCTCATCCTTCCCTTCCTAATCCCCATGAAAAGAGCTGAGGATGGGCCAGGTCCTGCCCATCCTGGCTGCCACAGACCTGCCATGGCTGCACTTTTGTCTGCAGCAAGAGGCAGGTCTGCAGACAAGAGGAGGCAGGATTTGTCATCTCCTTGTAGATCATGCTTTGATGTGCTAAAGTGAGAGCATCACACCAAGGAAAGCAATGCACGCTGCTGGCTCCCAGCCAGCTGTGGCAAAGGGCCTCTTCCCAAACCTACCAGCTTTCAGGGCCTGCAGGTTGGAGAAGAGCTTCTTAGGTGGCACAGTGAGGAGCTCAAAGACCTTCCCAGCAAGAAGCACTTTGGTGGAAAGGGGGAGCCTTTGTTTGCCTGGTCCAAAGGTCACTGAAACCAGCTGCTGGTTTCCCCCAGGCATAGAGGTGACTGAGGACCTTGCTGCTCATTCCCAGTAGGGCTTGAAGGGGAGAAACCACCCCCTCAAAATTCATGTTGAACATCATGCACCAAACGCTATGCAGTGAGTACTATGCATTTGACAGCTCTCCAAAATTAGAGCAAACCACCTTCTTACATGTTAATACTGCAAAACACACCAGACACATGCTGGATGAGGAGCCCAGGTGCACAAGCAACATGATGCGCCAAGGCTGTGTGCCTGAAATGAGGGAAAATAGGTCAAAATGAGGGGAAAGAGGTCTCCGCTCCTGCACGTGTGAGCCAAATGCTCAGATACATTAGCAGGAGTCCTACGCAGGCTTCAAGGAGAGGACAGAGCCCCAGGCTACAGAAGCCAAGCCAGGATGTGACCAACAGCCCTCAGATGCTTCTCGTTGCTTCACAGTCAGCTCCAGTGGCCAGTGGGCTGCCAGCAAAAGGCAATGGATATCTGTCCTGAAATACTGCTCAGGTATTTTAGCACACAAATAGGTTTAACTATGCAGAGTTACAGGAAAACATACTCTAAATTAAAACCAATTCAAGCACCATTGTCCTAGAAAGGACCAGTGGTGTCTCAAAACACAAATACTGAACATTCATAGAGCACTTTTCCTCAAACAGCAACGCTTGACTCCTCACAACACCCCTGCGAGGTAGCTAATAGAGTTATCCCTGCTTTGCAGAGGGAGAGGACAGCCAAGGCTGGAAGCTCAGCAGAAGATGGGGCCTTGGACAGAGCAGGGGTTGCAACAGAAGCTGAGAGTGCTGTGGTCTGGCTGGCTACATCCAAACAAAGATCCGGTGCTCCCTTTGACACTCTTCTTGCTACAAACACAACCAACCACATGTACACAAGGCAAAATAAATCCTGATAAATCATCGAATCATAAAACATCATGAATTGGAAGGGACCCATCAGGATCACCGAGTCCAACTCCTGGACCCCACAAAGTAATTTAGTGGAGGTTTGGTGCTGGGCTTTCATGTAGGCTTCAGATCAGGTTATGCTATTGAAGCAGCCTGTGAGATAAAAAAACCAGTTTTCTAAGTCTCCTTAGAAACAAGGAGCTTTTGCTCAGGGTCTCGGTTCAAGGGGTGGGAATCTCACCTATAGCCACCCCTTCTGAACTGCAAGGTCAAAAAGCACATCTAGACTGGTTTATTTCCCGCTTCTTCCACTGATCTACCTTCCTAATGAAGGCCCTTCCATCTCTAGGCATGCAGTAGATGCTGGAACAGGATTTTGGACCAGCTCTTTCTGTGGGGTGTGTCCCAAGGTCCCTTGCACACTCCTAACCAATGGCTTGGGCTATGCAACAGCAACGCTCTGGGATGGGGAGAAGATGGACAGGCCACCAGGACTTGGTGCATGAAGGGCAAGCAGGCACGTGGGCACCTATCATGCCCAGGTTTCCTTCCTTGGTTGTTAATTTCTGTGTGGTCTAAACGAGAAGAGCTGAGATCAGACCCTGGGCAATGTGCTCCCTTTCCCCAACTCCTATGCCCTTTCCACCCTGACACTTAACCTGCTCAAAGTAAATGCGGACTTCAGCTTGGGCACTGTGATTAGATGCCATCGCACCTCCAGCAGCTTGCTCATGCTGACAGGCCTCCCGAGCCAGCAGTCCCTTTTCCTGTTTGGCCAACAAAAAGGCAGTGAGCCTGCTCGCCACGCTGAACCTGCGAGGGAAAGGCCAGCAGAAAGGTCACTCAGCTCAAGAGACCAGGCTCAACCTTCATCACTGCCATTCTCACCTTGAGAACTTGGGAAAGAACCACCCTGTTGGCGGTCCTCCACTGGGGTAACACCAAGCAGACGCCTTAGGGACTCAGCAGCTGTTAAACCTCTTCTCTTGGACACCATCCACCACCACAGCAGGAGCTGGGTACAGCTGGGCACCGCTTTGTGGAATTGCATAGAGGGAGCAGCAGGCCAGGATGCCATGGCCCTGCCTGGAAATCCTGCTGCCTACAACCATGGGTCTGGGAAATGAAATAAAGATCTATTGCTACAAAGGCCTTTGAAACCAATGCTGTGGCTGTGCCGATGGGGCATTTTAAAGAAAGCATCTTGGATTCCTATGCCTTATGCCTGCTTCCCTGGCTATGGGTACCCACGGAAGGCAGGAGCAAAAGAAAACACGCAACACATTCACCAGCCCTGCCTCTTCCCCCAAGCCATGTGGCTCGTGGAGCTTTGAGGAACAAAACATGAAATCACTTTCCAATTTGTCCATAGGAAAGACGCAAATCCAATTTGTTGGTGTCTCCTGTTGCTGGTGGCCCCTGCTTCATCTCCTCGCTGGGCACACGTACCAAAGCACAGCTCGACATACGATGGCTGCTGTGCTGTCATCCCGACACAGCCCTGCTGAAGGATGGGATCCTGTAAATGGGGCAGGGGTGCTGCTCCAGAAACCACTTCCTCTCCCTCCCCCATCTCCACTAGAACGTCACTGATTTGGGCATCTTTGCCAGGGGAGGAGAGCCTGAAAGGAAACTGTTCTCTGAGTGGGATTTGACAACCTGTGGTGGTAATTTTGGTTTGGGGCTCAGAGGGGGTCGTGGGGCTTTCAGTGCGTTTAATGGTTTCTGGAGGCTTTTCTGGACATCTGCCTCCTCTGGGTCTGGCGTAAGAGTTGGTGGTGTGGAGGTGGCAGGCAGGGGGTGCCCAGTCTCCAACAGAGGCAATGCCACCTGCTTTCTGTTCAAGAAGTCCTGCTCTGTCGCGTGGGCCAGGTGGAGGGGAGTGACAGTTTTGATAACGATGTAGGGGCTGTTCCCCTCCACCACAGGGGATGATGCCTGCTGGAAGGGGCAGCCCTCACCCAGCCCTGCTCCCTCCGGCTCGCTGCTGGATAAGATGGGCACGCTGCCTCCCGCCACCCTGTCCTTGGGCCAGTGCACAGTGCTGGCGGCGCTCCCCAGCCCATTCTGCAGGCTGGTGAGCTCTCCTGTGGACGCAGCTTTGGATGCTGAGCGCTTCAAGTCCATTTTGCCCGGCAGCACTGCTCCGCAGTGCTCCTGGTCCACTGCCTCCCTGCGCCCACTCTCGGGGGAGCACTCGTGCTGTGACGTGCAAGAGAGACGCCGGCAGCCGCCCAGCAGGGGATGGGGGGGTGCTTCAAGCGCTGCATCTTCACACAGGGAAAATGCTTGTTCTGCTGGCATGGCAGCAGGATTTGGCTGCCATACTGCATCATCCGTAGTGGAAAGCTCAGCAGTGCTCGAGTCAGGAGGAGCTGGCCTGTTTTGGAGAGAGGAGTCTAAGGAGCTGTGCTCAGCTGGGGCATGGAGGGGGACTCCGTGGTCCATCATGGCACAGCCAGGAGCAAGAGGAGGCTCCTCTGGAGGCAGGGCCATGGGCAGGAAGTGATGATGGGCCTGTGTCTCGCTTGCCTTCAGAAGAGATGACGGCTGCCCGTCAACAATGGGCTCCACCCGGCCCTGCTCTTCCAGTGGCTGCCCACCAGGAGGAGGCACGTTTGTTGCTTCCGCTGCTTCACTGCCCTGGAGAGTGGGAATCCTCTCTTCCACCACTGTCATTCCTCCTGGTCCCTCAGGAACTCTGTGGGGATGGGGCTCCCTGTCCAGGGTGTGCTCACCCACCCGGCCATTCTGGCTGTTGGCTGCTGGGTTGTCCTTTACAGCTACTGGATTGAGAGAGAGCTCCAGGCCCAGGGGTTTCCTTGGAAACTCTTCAGGCTTTGCTGCATTGAAAGCAGAGAAAACAAAATAAGACCCAAATTGTGCATCAGTTCATTTCTGTACACCCTGAATGCAAGGAAGGCAGATGCTCCACCCAACAGGTGCCAGGCTTTCTGGGCTGCCCAGCTCCCAGCCACACCAGCGGGATGCTCTGGTCCCTGCTGGGCTGCCCACCTTCCCCTCTACCCACCTGGTGGTGGGAGGTCAAATTTCATCTTCCGAAGTTCAGTCATTGACACCTGCAGTTGCTCGATGACTGCATCATCCTCATACTGCAGGGAAGCAGCAATTTTCTCCTGCAGAAACTCACGTAAATCTTCCAGTGTCATCTTCAGCAAGCGCTCTGGGGAACAGGAGAAAGCAGTAATGATAGCGGCACAGCCAAATTGCAGGGTAGCATGAGCGTGGGTTGCACTGCTTTGGTTTTATCTGGGATTCTGCTGCTCTTCCCACTCTGCAATGAGATAGCTTGAATGTTTTCGCCCCTCTCCCACCTTTCCACTGTTGCTCAGGGTCATCAATACACGTACATATCCCCGTGCCACCTCTGAGCAGTAGCTCTGCAATGGCAGGACAATGGCGAGGCTGGGAGCTGTGCTGACAAGGATGCACATTTTGGGCCATTTCTGGAAGTTCTCACCAATACCTCTAGGAGGAGGAAAAGCTCCATGAGACAGGCCCTGAGCGTCAGGCTGAACAGCCACTGATGGTCAGGCTGAAAAGCCACTGCTGGCAGCTGCTACCACCAGCCAGGGATGCCAACCTGCACCAGCCAGCAGGCAGGGATGCAGGCAGAGGTGCTGGCCCTCACCAGGGTTGCAGGCAGGGGTGGGATACAGTCTGGAATGGGTTGCAGGGAGAGATGATGCCAATCTGCACCACACATTCCTCAGGGAGAAGAGATTTCACAGGCAGGCTGAAACAACTGCCTGCCTGCCAGTTTCCAGCTTTTTGCAGACAAACAGGATACTTCAAGATTTATTTCTGGATAGCCTGTTCTTCATTTAACTGAAGGAAGAGCGGGGGCCCGTTTGCAGAAGCCAACACACACAGTCCCAAAAATCCTGCTGGCCTAAAGGTTCCCAGCACACACTCCTGCCCCAGATCAAGGCCACAGAGTGACAGAGCAGGGCTGTGATCTTATGGGAGGAGAGGGGTTCAAAGTCACAAAGGTCTCATGGTAGAAACATCACTGCTCTAACGTTATGCAAGAAAACCAGGTTTTGATCAGTTTAGAAGTATATTAACGGATTTACTTCTCCCTCTACAGACTTTTCAGCTGAATCACCACCTAGAGTTCTGCAGACAGATGCTGCAAAGATGCAGCAAAGAAAGATGCTGCAAAGTATGGCAATTGCTGTCTGTATTGCCCCTAAAAGCCTGTTGATAGAATATGTGGGGCACATACACAGAATATGTGTAGAAAGAGGCAGCTGGGAGCATTTCAGGCGAGCTTTGTGTGTGATGAGCACAGCATGTCAACCCTTGCAGCATCTCATTTCATCCCCAGAGCATCAGCTTGGGACTTTTGCAGCCAGCGCAGGGCTTGGAGAAGGTTGGAAGTGGCCAGCAAGGCTTTCTAGGTCGGCAGCCCAAGGGCAGCCCAACGCAGGGCCATGCGGGACACAGTCTGCTGGGACCTTACTTTTGTGCAATTTGAGGATGGTGTAAGCCATGGCTGTCAGCACACGCTCCCCTTCCAGGATGTAGATGTCCCACAGCCGCAAGGTGAGGGTGAAGGGCGTCTGTTTCAAGTACACAAACAAATACACACATGGGATGATGATACAGAGGTTGGTGCCATCACTACATCCCCTTGCACCAAAACACACAACACAGCTAGGCTTCAGAAGCCATGAATTCATCTATAACACAGAAATATATCTTTTCATCTATGGCTTTGCCTTAAAGCTAACAACCTTGGGTGGCTGGGAAAGTACTTAAAACCCATCCATGAATGCAGAAAAATGAGAAGCTTTCCTCACAAGCATGCTAGCACATGGATTTCCCTATCCTGGAGGGAGCACCATCATCTTTCAGCCTTGCAAGCACACAAAACAACTCCTGTATCCATCCAAATTTCTCAGAAGGGCTATTTATGGGATAGGTCTGAAAGCCCAAAGATGCCTCACTAAGCATTAAAAAATCACTCATTTGGTGTCCAGAGGAGTGGTTTTCCTTATACACAGACTTATTTCTGCCTGCTAGAAACACCTCTGCAAGAGGTTTTCATTTGCACCCACACCCAATCTGACAAACAGGAGTGAACTGATATCCAAAGTGATGGAGGAGTCTTATACCTCTCAGCAAAGATCTGAGGCATCTCACCAACAAAGAAGTCAGTACTGGTCCTACTGTGACATGTAAGTTCAAATTTAGGATGCTGCACTCCAGACTTTGGCACAACTGACCATTGCAGCTCTTTTACCACATGCTACTGCAGACTTTGCATTTTATACAGCTTCTAGTGGAAGACTGCAAAGCAGCAAGTCCCCTCTCAAGGGGAGGAGGTCATCCACTGTTTTACAAGAGACAGGGCAGCAGAAAATTGAGACTGGGGCACACAGATGTCCTAAACATTAGCAAGTCTGGACATTGCATTCAAGTGTGCAAGCACAATACTGCCCCTAAAAATAAAGTAGTCTTGGCTCAAGACTGGCAAATTAGCTCTGAACAAATCAGGGTAATTTTCTCACGCTTTCACATGTTTCCAGGCCCAGCCCTCTCATCTGCCTGCAGCTGCTACGTTGCTATTTGTTGAAGTTTGTGCCCCCAGCTCTTCTCCTCCCTACACTATTTCCAGAGCCCAAGTGAGGTTAATTGCCTTTGCAGCAGTGCCAGTGGGCAAAAGAAAGATCTCTCCAAAGTTTAAAGCTCATGCTGATGCTGCTGAGCCATCTCCCAGCAACTGCTTTAGATGAGGCAGCAGGAATTGGTTTGTCATCAGTGACATGCAGTTATTTTTAGCTTCTCCCTTATTAATTTTTTTGTCTTATGAGAGTGTGCATAGTATCCCACCTTATAAAATATTAACACCTTCTTCAAAGTATGATATTTAGAAAAAATCCCTGGCAGATTAACCATGCATGCAAACAGCAGAGCAGCAAAAAACCCCCAGAGCATCCTCACCCGGTCAATGAAACACTGCAGGAACCACTTGGTTGTATAAATCCCTGTAGTCATCTGCTCCTTGTCCTGGGGGGAGACAGCAAAGAGAGACAGGCTTTCACCAGGGTGGCTGCTGGAAGTTCAAACAGCTCATAAGGCTTTGGGGGAGGTTGGTTGGTTGGTTCATTAATGCTGGGGTCTGGGTGCAGGATCTGGCTGTGGTTTGTCTCCCAACAAAGCCCCTGCTTTAAATACCAGTTTGGAAGCCCTCCTTTGGCCAATCCTCGATGTGGACAGACTTCAGCCACAACTTTGGACAGGAATTTCTAGAAGCTTTTCTGGCCTAGTACCTACTCCAGGGGATTTACAAAAACCTTCGAGGAACCCAAACCACTCACTCCTTGCAGACTACCATTTTTCTTTCCATAGCAATTCCCATGCAAGCCTCTCCGAGCACAGTCAAGCCAGCTTTACAAGCACCACCTCATTTGCATGGCATGGCATGGCTGCTGCAGGAGCAGGACAGCCTGACAGGCTAAGGAAAACTCTTAAGAAGTCTTAAAAACCTCACCATCATCACCCCTGTCTAACAGTGCTGGGATGCACAGTGCTCTGCACATGCACAGAATTGATGTAACCGCTGCTGCAAAGCCAACAAAGCCGTGGGGATGGGAAGAGAAAGAAGCCCGTGGGATTAACGTCTGACTCAGGCCTTTGCTCTTGACTGGTGCTGAGCACCTGCAACCCTGGAGAGCCTTCAGGAGCAGGAGGCATGAAGCAGCTTTCAGAGTTATTCCCACCCTCCCTCCTCTGCTGGTGACCATAATTAAGTGAAAACCTGTCCTGGCCCTGTTTCACTTTTACAGGCAGGTCTGGCTCATTTGTAGCACAGAGCAAGAGCTGTTGGAACTGATGGCAATATAAACAGCTTTTCCTGGAGCTGGGGGCCACAAAGCCCTTTGGTAGCATAAGAAAACTTTAGGAGTCTGGCCACTGAATGCCAACTGTCTACAGCAAATGCAAGGGTAGACAATGCAAAAAAAAAAAGGGAGCAGGTGTTGCACAACAGTTGCCTAAGACGTTAGACTGCAGTCGGTGTGTCCTGCAGATGCTTCTCAAGCTATCAAACAGGCCTGTACCATCTGCTAGAGAGAAAAACAACTGGACATGCCTGAGCAACAAAACACAACAGCAAATCTTACATGTCTCCTGTCCTTAAAAAACAGCAAAGCACTTGGAGCTAATAATTACTGAATTAAGACTCCAGAAAATTCAGCATCAGCCATAGGGCTTTGCAGCTGGTATAAGAGCACAGTCCAGCCTCACTGCTGTATGAACAGCTCCTTCTGCTGCAGGCCCTGTAAGCCTTTCTGCCTGGCTTTCCTAGGGAAGCCTTTAGATTTTAGCAGTCCCTCCACTAATGATGACCAGCAAGCGAATGATAACCGTTTGCCTCAGCAAGGTTGGGGCACCCCATTTAATAAATGCTTGCCTCTTTGTGGCTGAAGCAGTCCGACATGGTTAGAAGTATGTTCAGTTGTGCATCTGTTTGGCAGAACATTAACTGCTTTAGCATTAAAATATGGTATTATTATAGGAAGACTGATAGTAAAGAGATACCATGTGCTTCTTCAGTTTGGGAAACAGTTTGCTTAAAATCTGTTCGTGGTGAGCTTGAAACCTCTGCAGCTTCGGGAACCCAGGAATGAAAAAACCTTAACAAGAAAAGATGAGAGAAATAAAAAATAATCAGAAAAGCTCTGGAGCAGGGACAGGGACAGCCTGATTTTCTAGAAACTCATCTCTTCAATTGCCTGTTGAAGTTGGCTGGACCACAGGGAGCCCAGATACCTCCCTCCCAGAGTCCGCCCTTCACTCCATCTACATGGACAACGGGACTCTCAGACCAACCTCAGCTGGTCCTTCTCAACCAGCCTCATGGACCAGACCATGCACCTTCCCCAGCCCATCTGCCTGAGACTTGGCTTGGCCAAGACGTCTCTGAACACGCCTCAGTGCTTACCAAGGTTCAGAGAAAACCTGAAGATGTTTGAACACCACAAGCTTGTGCAGTGCCCTGTAATCTCAGTTAATCACATTTAAGGCTGTCCAGAGTTATCAAGCCATAAGGCTTAGCCCTCTGCCCATAAAATAACCACAAGTAAGATGAAAGGATCTTTAATTCGTTTGAAGTAAAATAATACAGCACATTTGGTGGAATTATATCCACATTTAATGGATGCTCTTGGATGTACTTCTGTGAGACTTCTTATAAACTCATAATCTTGAGTTAATTTACTGCCAAGGGCAAAGCACTCTGGAGGGAGGATAAACACCTCTGTGGAAGTGTTAATTACTGAGCACTAAAGCTCATTGTCGAAAAAACACATTTTTTTCTGATAAGAACTTGTCTGCCTCCAAGAGCAAAGTTCAGCTCCATAGTCAGGTTGTATATATAGTTAAGCCTTGCCCACTTTAATTAAACAAGTATGTGAGGAGAAACAAGGCTCTACTGACCAACTAAACAGCCTTCCCTCCTGTTGCCAGACACCCATCCACATCCCGCCCCAGCCTTACCATGCATGGCGTGTCGCTGGTTGGTCAGCAGCTGTGCCAGTGCCCAAAACGCATCCTCTTCATTCAAGTACATCAGGAGGATGGCTGCAATCTGGCTCATCCCTTGGCAGTAGCTCACTTCCTGCAAGAGCCAAGAGGGACACACTTGCTACCATAATGCTAAAACTGTAGAAGCAGGTCAGGCTGCCGATGCTTCCCTCTCCTCTTTCAAGGTTTGTTCTGTTTCAATGTCTTTACCATTTATGTCCAAATTCACAGCTCCCACAGGTCTCCAGCAACTACCACATCACTGACACACAGAGTAGATTGGTTTGGAAGGGACCTTCATAATCATCTCACCCAACCCCCCTGCCATGCACAGAGACACCTTCCACTGCACCAGGTTGCTCAAAGCCCCATCCAACCAGGCCTTGAACACTGCCAGGAATGGGGCATCCAAGCTTCTCTAGGCAACCTGTTCCAGTGCATCATCATGCTCATTGTGAAAAACGTCTTCCTTATGTCCAATCTAAACATATCTCTTTCAGTTTAAAAATGTTGCCCCTTGTCCTGTCACTACGGGCCCTAATAAAAAGTCTTTCCATCTTCTTTTTTTTTTATAAGACCCTTTTATATATTGAAAGGTTGCAATGAGGTCTTTCCAGAACCTTCTCTTCTCCAGGCTGAACAATCCCAACTCTGACCTTTCTTAACAAGAGAGGGGTTCTGGCCCTCTGACCATTTTTGTGCCCTTCCTCCAGACCTGCTCTAACAGGGCCTCCAGCAGGAGGTGAGGGGTTTGAAGGCAATGTTACCCCACATGCCTCTGTTCCCTGCTCAAGCCTGGAGGGTGAGGGACAGAAACCCAACGTAAGAGGTGCCTGCAGCTACTTCAAGGAATAGGGGATGGGATGACAAACAGCATGTGACTGATGCTGTTTTGGATTCCTTCAGCCATATGAGCACTGAAGTAATTAAACAATAAATAATGTGATAAGCATTTATCTGGTATGAGGGAGGCTCCTTGACTAACCCCTTGAGCATCGTCTGTGCCTCATGGGGTAACTGTCCCCTCCTGGAGATGGAGGCTGTAGGTTCAGCTGCTAGTTTAGGCTTATTCTGCCTATGCCCTTCAGCTAAAAAACGACTGGTTTGCTGTAATAAGTCAGTGTTTTTAACAAGGAATGCCATTTGGTGTAAGACAAGAAGGCAGAAACATGGCAGACTACCAAGAGACCAACTAGTGTTGCTAGAAAGCCAAAGGGCAATCCCTTGTTCTTTGCTGACACTCGCTCAAACTGAATCTGCCAGATGTCATTTACCGGGTGACAAAATGAACAAAGGAATGAAAAAACTATGCAAAGACTCCTGTACTGCCTGAGAGTCTTGCAGCTGTCTGTATAAGCCAGTATTAGGACTTAAAATTGGAATTACCACTGGTTAAATATGTGTGTGTCTATTTTATATATATATAAAATAAATATTTTGTATATATATACACATACAAACATACTTGTCTACATATATATATAAAATGCTTTTACAAAATCTTTACGTATATATATATATACATGTAAAGCACAACGCTATTCATGTTGACTGGACTTACTACTTACGGTGTTATAAACAGAGTATGCTGACAAGACGTGGAAGAGTGCCTGTTGCCTGGGGAGAAAGAAGGATATTAAAACACCTGAGTCCAAAGTCTCCAGCTTTGTGACCACACCAACGCATACACAGAGAGCAAAGACCCTGAAAACACCCAGCCAGTTATGCCTTTTGCACAGGAGCCTCCTGCAAGGAGCAGGTCTCACAAAATCAGAAAGCACCTTCCTCAGAGACTGTGAAGGGCAGCTAGGTGTGACCCATCCAAGTGACAAAGCCACTTCGTCAAACCTCTCTGACTCCATCTGTTGTGGAGACCCCATCCCACCCAGATCCTGATGGGCCCACCCCATCATCCCAGCCATCCCAAACTAAGCCCTCTGTAACCTTGGGGGACAAGGTACTGCAACAGGCCAGTGCTGCTTGGCTCAAGAACTGGGGCTGAACGTGGTGCAGTGTGGACCTCTCTGAAGGGAGAATCAGCATCCCAACATGTGTGGGTTGTACTGTGTGGTGAGGGTTTGAGGAGCAGGCAGAGATGGCTTTGCTCTCCTGTGAGCTGCTCTGAGCCAGGGTGCTGGTGGTCACCCCAAACCAGGGGACTGCTGGCCCCCTATCCAGCTCATTCCCCCCATATCCACTGGCACCAGTGTCTGCATAGCCCCGTGAAGCCTCCTGTACTCACTTCACTCCGTAGCGATCCCGAAACATGATGTGGTTTCGGAAGGTGCGGTTAACATCCAAATCTATCTGCTTGATTTCCGATGAAAAGCACTTTGCTTGTTCTTTCATTTGCTGGATGGGACAGGCAGACAAGAGGCAGAAGTCAGACACCATCTCAGCCCACGCCTCTCCCCCTACAGTGGGAAATCAGGCTTCCTACAGCAAGAGTGGCAGCTTGCGAGTTGCACAGAGGTATCCAGAGCAGGGACATTGCCACCTTTCAGTAAGCAATGACATGCAGCCGGGAGGTGAATCCCCAACCCCTTGTCTGTGCTGCTGGCCTGGGAGAAGGGGACGACCCCACATTCACACGCTACGACAGTGGCAGCTGCCAACCCAGCCTTCGCCCATCTTCCAATGCAGATACTGAGTTTTCAGAATCTAAAACCTTTACAATTAAATTCCACTCTGATTTACTTTGATTTCTTTGTCTGGCTGGCTATCATAAAGCATTGAGAACTCTGTTGGTGCTTAAGGAATGATACACTTCCTTAAGGAACCAACATGCAGGTGTACACACTGAGTCCCTGAACTTTTCAAAGGCTCAGTCATAACAAAGTCCAAACTGTTATAACAGACTCTATGAAGTGATCTCCAACTACTACTTGCCCTGCAGAAGAGAATCATCTAAGGTTTAAGGAGTTTCCATTAGAAAAGCAGTTCTGGGGTATTCCCTTGGACTGGTGCAAATTTTAAGAAATCAGCAGAGACCAGAAGAGAAACTAAACCCAAAACCAAGAACTCCCATGTTCCCTCCATGCCGGCTAATCATTTAAGGAAGCATCACATAGATAAAGGACTTAAGTCCAGTGCAAAAAAATGAAAATTCAAATGAAAGTTAAGATCCCCTCAACCAATTGTGCCCTCAGAGTTCCAAGCTGAAGATGCTCCATGGACAAATCCCACCGCAGTCCCATTCGTAACCCACTGTTCAGCCCTGTGCTGCAGGCAAGGACCATTATGCTATAGCCAAGCATCTCATCTCACAGCCTTTAGATACCGCCAGTGATCATGCCCTTCTCCTTTGATAGCTACAGGGCCAACTCCATGAAGAATATACATTTCGTGACTGTTTTCAGGCAGACTGAAATCCACTGGCAGGTTAGAGGCAGCAGAGATGAGCAGCAAGCCCACCCTGCCTTGAGCCCGGGTTCAGGACCCCTCCTGGGCTGATGCAGGAGACAGAAAATAACACATCTGCACAGATGCTTATTATCTGCTCCAGCAGCTGCCATCCTATGAATGCTTGTCAGCCTGATACCAGGCGCCTCCATGCTGTTGTTGACCTCCTGAGGTGGCCACATCAGCTCTGGGGAACATCAAAAGGTCATTAGTACTGCCAACATTTAGGGCAGTCACAGCATCTTGGGAATATTAACTATAACCTTGAAAGCAGCTGTATGGAGGAGCAACAGTACGAGGGCTATTTTGAATTTTTGCCTGCACAAAACAAGGGAGGATAAAAGCAGCCACAGAGTGAAGGTCTGATGAACAACATAATTTCCCTGCTGTAAATACTGTGCTCTCCACATCTTATGGATCCTTGTCCTCTATAAAGCAAATAGACTACCTGAGAGAAGAGGACTATTCATATCCACTGGGTCAGTTCAGTTCAAATTTCCCTGCTAAAGTCCCTCTTGTTTTCCCTGCCAGAATAACATGGCAATCTCTCAAAGACTGTAAATAACCCTACTTCAGTTTGTTTTGAAGTACTGCACCTGAATAGCAGGTAGGTTGCACAGCACGTTGTCATCTCCATGCACTCAGAAGACTTTAGTAATTGTGCAGATGTTAAAAAAGAAAACCCAGGATGGGTTATTCTCCTTTTTTTCCCGTTTAAGTAAACTGGGGGCTCCACAGTTGCTCTGCAGTTGCTCTGCTGAGCTCATAAGCTCTGTGAGCCCTGCAAGCTGGTGGCAGAACAGAGGCCGGGAAGCTGAAGGTCCTGTCCCAGAGACCTTGTACAATGCAGTGGGTAAAAGCCAGGATGCCTCTGCTCTGCCTCATGGCCAAGATGTTTCTCCTGCTGCCTTCTCAGCTCCGCTCAAGCCCTCCAGTTGTGGCTAACAAACCCCAGAGGAGCAGAGCATCACACCCACATCAAAACTAAGCATGTCCCATGGTAGCCTCCGGGCTTTTGTGCTACAGTTCACGTCCCAGGGAGAAATGAGGTGGCCTTGGGACCAGCCCCTACATGACACAAGTCTGAGACTGAGGCTTAGCCCCTTCTTGAAAGCAAAACCCCTCATCCAGGATCTGCACTTAGCCTCTCCTGGAGGAAATTAGGAGAGAGCTAATTACTGGCAGCAGGTGGCACCAAAGAAGAGGCAGATTAAGATGAGCTTGTAGAGGGTTTGCATCCAGCAAAGCCTATTAGCCCTGAAGCTCCTGTTTATCGCAGACCCCTCTGGAGCACAGATAAACTCCTTTCGACTTTCATTTGCTTGGATTGCTTCCCTGCCTGCGTAGCACAGCTTTGAGGGAGGGAGCACAATTTTAATCTGTGTTCTGGGAGAGCTTCCTTATCTCTGCTGACTGCAGTGAGCCCAGCCCGCCTTCCCGAAGCCCCTGCCTGTGCCCCCATCCCAGCGGCACCTCACTAGTAACATCTACGCCTGACTGACTATAATGAGCGTTATCATCATCCCGCTTAATAGGCAGGGATTTTTAGAAATACCTGCTGGAAGCAGCACTCAACCTCCTGCCTCTGAAAAATAATTGTCTCCACAATACCTCACCCTGGTACATGATGCAAGCTAAATCATAACACAGGTTTGGAAAATAAGTTAATTATCAACCAAAGGCTACCACACTGCCTATGGAAAGGAGCCAAAACACCTGAAATAAAAATAACAAATACAACAAGCCCTGTCACTTGGGTTCCTGTTCAATGCATGCTACAGAAACTGCTTATTTAATGACATGGAATCCAAGCCTGAAGCATGCAGTGCTCTGGTAGGAAGCAGTGCAAGGCAGGCTTTTCTCCTACTTGCAGAGAAAAGAAGTGATTTTTAACAGAAAAGTAATTTTTGATTTTAATATTGATTTTTAATAGAAACGTTCACAACAGTTATAAAGAATTGAAGATGGAAGATAAAAGAATCCACTTCAATCCAAGCTCTTCCAATGCTGTCAGTTAACTTCCAGCTGCACATCTAAGTGGTAAGCCAGGACCCTGTGCTCAGAATGAAACCAACTTGCAAGATCTGCCTTCACCCCACCCTTATTTTGGTTTCTTGACTAACAACCCATTGCTGGCTGGTTTAGGGCTTCTCATCTTGCTGCACCTGGGGATTTCAAAAATCCCCAGGTAAAACTTTCAAGCACACACAGAGGTTTGGGGTACCCCCATCCAGCACCTACCTGCTCCAGGGTACTCATGACTACTCTGCATCACCCCAGGGAGCTCAGGGAACTGTGAGCGGCACCTTTGCTAAGCCTTCCCTCACTTTTTCCTGCATCTCTCCCTAAAGATGCAATAAAACTGACAGCAACTTTGCTTGCAACTCCCAGCACAACAGATGGAAGCAGCATATTACGGAAAGCAGCCAGCTAACATGCTAAAAGACCCCAGCTTGATGTACACCCACTGATAAAGAGTTTATACCACTTGTGTTTTCAGTCCCCACTGAAAACGCAAAGGGTATAAAATGTCTTTCCTCCTCAGAGGTCGCAGAAGTTCACAGACAGGACGAGGCCTCACCACCAGCGCACACCCTAGAGCGCTCACCACACTGCTACCCTGTGAGGAAGTATGGAAGGGCCGTGCAATCCTCCTGCCCCATTAAAGCATCCCCATAGGAACTCCCATGTCTCTCCTGCCCATGCCAGTGGAGATGGAGACGCCTGCATGCACCACGGGTCCAACTTGCCCTGACTGGTGAAGCCCCACCTAACCAGCCTCCCCAACCAATCTAGCCTCCTCATCACCTTGCTCTTGTTGTCTTTGCCAGGAAGAGCTCGTACCTCATATTTTCCTTCGTTCTCCTTCTTCATCTTCTCGACATCCAGCAGAAGTGACCAGACCTGGCCTCTCACTTGGAGTGGGATCCCTTTGTACACTCGCCGGCACATCTGCGGGGAAGGAAACGTGTGCAAGGTTAGCTGGTCCTGCTGGTGGCAGAACAGATTTTCTCCATGGTTTGCTGGGGCAGATCAGCAGCCATCTGAGCAGACACCCAAACCGGTCACTTCATCTGCCTGCACTGGCCATCTGATGGATGAGCTGACTACCTACATCCACTGAAGACAACTACTCAGTCAAAATCATAGAATCACGGCACCATAGAACAGTTTGGGTTGGAAGGGACCTTACAGATCATCTATTTCCAACACCCCTGCCATGGGCAGGGACACCTTCCACTACACCGGGTCCCTCATAGCCCCATCCAACCTGGCCTTGAACACTTCCAGGGGTGGGGCAGCCACAGCTTCTCTAGGCAATCTGTGCCAGTGCCTCACCACCCTCACAGTAAAGAATTTCTTCCTAACATCTAATCTAAACCTGCCCTCTTTTAGTTTAAAACTGTTCCCTCTCGTCCTATCACTATCTTCCCGTGTAAAAAGTTGCTCTCCCTCTTATTTTATAAGCCCATTTTAAGTACTGGAAGGCCACTAAGAGTTCTCCCTGGAGCCTTCTCTTCTTCAGGCTGTACAACCCCAGCTATCTCAACCTGTTTTCAGTGGAGCGGTCTTTGTTAGGAAGCATTGCTCCTGAGCCTGGGGGAGGCGACCCCTGAATATCAGCCAGCTTCCTTGGATGCCTCTTCCCTCTAGGGCTTTATCCCATGGTACTCTACTAAGCAGATCCTTGAAGAGGACAAAGTCTGTTCTCCTGAAGTCCAGGGTAGTGAGCTTGTGCATCCCCCTTGCTGCCCTAAGGATCTTGAACTCCAGCATGGCTGCTGCAGCCAAGGCTGCCCTTGAGCTTCACATTCCCCACCAGCCCCTCCCTGTTGGTGAGAACAAGGTCCAGCATAGCATCTTCTCCTCGTTGGCTCCTCTGTCACTTGGAGAAGGAAGTTATCATCAATGCATTCATTCCATATTGCTTATGCCCTGCTGTGCTGTCCCTCCAGCAGATATTGGGGTGGCTGAAGCCCCCCATGGGGACCAGAGCTCACGAACATGAGGCTGTTCCTATCTGTCTCCAGGGCCTCATGTGCTCAGTCTTCCTGGTTGGGTGGCCTGTAGCAAACCCCCACTAAAACGACACTTGTCCCTGTCCTCCCTTTAATCCTGACCCATAAGCTCTCTGCTCCTCGTCCATTCCCAAGCAGAGCTCCATGCACTCCTCACTGACATAGGGTGTGACACCCACTCCTCATCTCCCCTGCCTGTCCTTCCTTAAGGAGCCTGCATCCTTCCATTCCATCGTTCCGCTCCGGTTACAGAAGCCACCCCACCATGTCTCCATGATGCCAATAAGATCATAGCCCTGCAGGCACACACACATTCTGTGCTTGCCCTTGGACTCATCTTCAAAGACCATATGCAGCATCCTTGGCTTTGAAGCCTTCGATCTGACCTGGCATAGCTGTTCTCATCTAGACGCTCAGGGACTGATAGAAAAACACATTTTTCCTTGGAGAGGAGAGCCTTCACCATGAGAGCCACAAAGATGTGTCCACAGCAGCTTCACAGCTTGACAAGTGGCAAAGCAGATTGCAGGCTACACCAAGGGCTCTCCCCTGAATGTGCAGGGCACTCACCAGGCAAAGAGGGGGATTGGGGACAAACATGCACATGTTCACTTCATCTCACAGATGCTTCTTTCCTTTTTCTTGCCATAAAGCCCTTTCTCTCTAAAGAGACCATTAAATTTCAATGTAAAAAAGAAAGAAATAAAAAGCTTTTGTTCCATTGCTGACTTCTTCCATTAAAAGAAAATGCTTCATAAAAAAGAAAAAAAGCTCCATTTTGGAGTATTTTCCATCCTTTCATTCATCCCACCCATGAAATGCCTTGCAGCTGCAGCACAAAATCAACTGCAGCATTCCTCCAGGCTCCTGAGGACCTGCAGCACATGCCCAAGCTCCAGCCACGGAGGGTATTTATGTTGTGATGTGGTGCTCCCTCAGAACCAGACAATCCCTCGGGAGGGGACAGAGGTGCTGGATTTTCAGTCACAGGAATGAGCTCGAGGCTGAGCAGGGCAGCACCCCACCAGGCAATTAGCTTGAGGTACTGTCACTGCCTGGTACAAATGCACCTGCCCACCTTCAAAATACCTCTTTTTTTTTTCCAAAGGTTGTTCTGCTTCATGCAATCCAGGCTGATGCAAGAGAAGGGCTGCAACTGACAGGGAAGCATTGAGATCCCAGCAGAAGGTTTTCTGGACGTGGGCCTACTGCATTGTCTTTGCATCTCTTACGCCAAGCTGAACATCTGCTCCTGCTACCTTTCCTTTCTGACCCACCTCGCACCATTGCCTTTTTTATTTCCAACTTGACTTTTTAAAGCCAACTTTTCACAAAGATATAAAGACCATAACCACAGCACTACGCTGGCTCACAGCCTCTGTAGCACAGACCCTCGCCCCTCGTTTTGTTCCTGTCTGCACAGAAGCACTGTGCCTACCCAGGGCAAAACCCAGCAACGGGCTGAAGAGTCAGGACAAGATGAGGCAAGACAGGAGGTGGAGTTCAAGCAGACAGGCTAGGTGACAGCAAAGAATTAACACCACTATCCCAGCCAAAATAAGTATATAAACCAGCTCTGTAGTAAGTGTCAAGATCACCATGTAGTACTAGGAGAACTAGATGTGTGAGAATGCTTTTCCATCCCGTTATGATAAATATTTCAGTATTCCTGCTGACACAGGAAGTGTCGGTGTAATGTATCCTGATTCTGTAAGTGTAATTCACATTCAACATTCAAAACTCCATTCTCTGCACTTCCCAAATGCTTGCTTTGCCCAAGTGCTGCTTAGCACCAACTTTGAAGGTCCAATATACAGCCAGGACCAAATCCTACAGAAATCCTTTACCAGATCCTGCCCTCCCCTCTGTCTACACCAAAGCTGCCCCCTAAAAGGCAACCTCAATAGCAAGACACACCCATAGAAGGCCACCATCCTGCTCAATGCCATCCCGCATTTTAAGAGGGACATCACTAATTCACCATCTGCACATCCAGGGGAGTGGGTTCTGCTTGTCCAAGCTCACGTGGGGAGGTGCTTCTGAGGACAGCAAACTTTCACACCATGCAGGACAGCTTCATCCCTGAGAGTCGTTAAATCAGGATGAAAGAAGTGCAATGCATCAAGAGACACAAAGATGAACCACATCCCCAAAGTAGTACTGGCAAGGTGCCCGTGAAAGCCTGGCTCCTGCAAGCACTCATGCCTTCATGAAGCAAAAGCTGAGGTGGGATCAAGAAACTGGAGTATGAACCAATTCTGATAAAAACACCAATTCAGAAAAAATTATTTATTTCCAATGGATTAGGAGAGACTGACTGACAGCTGCCAGGGTAGGTGATGCTTAGCTCTGTGGGAAGAAAATAATTTTGTTTTGAATTCCCAGAGCTGGTATTGCTGTACTTTGATGAGTGCAACCCTCAGTGGCATATAGTAAATGTTTTTAATTATTTTCTTTGCACAAGTGTGGAAGGAACAGGAAAGTTACAAAACATGCTGAGATGACACCGAACTGAAATGCCTTCATGTTATTTATTCAAGGGCTTTCCTCCTCCCACCGCCTCCAGACATGAAAGTGATAAAAAAACCTCGGAGCTGTGAGTCACGCAGAGGAAAAATGAGCAACTTTTCTGCATTGTGAAACTTGAAGGAAAACAGGGAAGTTACCAATACAAGCAGCATTTACACTGGGATGAAGTGACAGAGGTAAGGCATCAGGTGATGACAATTCCTATTTCATGTGAGAATCAAAAACAACCCTCAAGGTCACAATCTTCGATCTCTTATGGACTGCTCAGCCCTTATAGATGGGAAGAGAGCAACTAGATCATGTGCTATGCAGACTGACAGACTGACCAATGCAGGGCAGGAAGAATGGACATCATCCCGCTCTACAAATGGAGCTGCTGGTGGTCAAAGCAATAGTTCAAGACACTGTGCAGAAAAGCCATGTCAGCCAAGGACTGAACTCACAGTGTTTAAAACCTGCTCCAGATTTTGTCATAGGATCATCTTCCCTCTCTAGGCTTTAGCATACAAAGGTCGTGGCACAGAGGCCATCACTACCCCATCCCTAACTCTCCCTTCCCCATGTATTTTCTTTCTGGTAATTGGGATGGGGAAGACTATAGAAGTACAGACCTGAGCTCCATCTTCCTGCATCAGAAATCTCCTCTGAGAAGTACCCAACCAAGTGCTCCAGGTCTTTAACTAGAAGAGTGGAGTTACTGCCTTTAAAGACAGAACATGTTTTTGCAGTAGTTAAGACACTGCAGTTAAAAAGGGTTTGGGAGACGTGGGTTGGTTTTTAAAGCAGAATATACACATTGCAGTTCACTTTCACACTTTGCAGTCTGTCACTGTTAGCTTCTCAGCCATGTGCATGGCTCACCAGGAAGAGACTGCAGGAGCAATGCCCAAATCTCGGGTGTGCATGATGATATCCCTTTCAAGCCTCTTTCTATACCCACATACATCTCCAACACCCTGAAGTGGGGGAAGCCCCCTTCCTAAATTCCTTTAGGGCTCAAAGAGGGATCCTTCTGAAGAGGAAGGACTTCTTCACATCCTCTACCAATGATGCACCAGGGGAACTAAGCTATGAAGATTTTCACCACCACCACGACAACCATCACCCCAGAGAAGAGGATTTATTTTTCATACCACAAAGCCAGCTGACTGCACAAAGATGACTGACTGATGATGTGGCTGTGCAAGACACTTGGCAGATGGGACATCACTGCACATGGCTTTTTTTCCATACAGATAATGCTTACTCCCAACTCAGCTGCTGTGCCTGCAGCTGGAGCCTATACAGCTATGCCAGATGAGGTGCCACCAGGTCTGCAGGGGCTCCAGCAGCAAAGCAGGGGCAAATTTAAATCCTAAAGCTGATGGGCTGTGGGTAGGCATTTACCTTTACTGCCTGGGCTACCTTTGGAGGAGAGAAAAATGCAACCTGCTCTTCCAACATGGAAAAAAAAAAGGCAGGAGAAGCCACCCTGCAGCTCCCAGATGCAACCCCCTTTCTTTCCCATGCATTTCCATGCAGGAGATCTGACTTCAGCCAACCCTGACATGACAAACATCTGCTGGCTCTCCCTGGCATTAGCAGACTATTTGCTCCTGGGGGTCTGTGTCAGTCCATACAGATCCCCAATTCATCCTAAACTGCTTTGCTGGCATGCACTGGATTAAGTGCCCTGCACTCCCATGACCTTAGCAGAGACCAGGCTACCCCCAAGCACAAAGGCAGGCTTTGCCTAAAAACCAGACATCTCTGACCAAAGTCATCCCTTTCTAATGGTCCCATCCCACATGGACAGCAACAAGACACAGCTTGCAAATGATGCAGATGTCATATCCTCTCCCTACGACTGACACTTCTGGCTGAAATCCATCTATTTCAGGGCTACGATGAATAAATTATCCCACTGTTGGAGCACACACAGCAGAGCCTTTTTTCTCTGCAAAACTGTGCTGCCTGAACTGTTATATTTTTACATGCACCAACCACTTCCTAACTTTCCCAAGCAGAGTCAGGTTGGGATTTAAACCTGGGTTTAAATCGGCAGTGAAGAGAACACAGACCACCCGACCCTCCCTGTGCTGAACTCCGAGTTAACACAATTCAGCACTTCTTTGCAAGTTTGACATAGCTTAAGTCTGCAAAACAGTGTGGTCCTTTCATGGACTCCTTTATTTTTGTGCCCTTTCCCTTGTGGAAGTGCAGCCAGAAAAAAGCGCTATTGCATCATTCTAACCCCACCCATGTGAGGAATTGTGCTGGTGTCACTTTTTCCTGATGTTGCTACTGAAATTAAATCATATCGCTATGATTTAAGAAGAAACAGGTTATGCCTGAAATTATTTTAGGCATAGTCAGGGCTAGGAGCTGTAAAAGGTCCTCCTCTTTTTTTCACCCTGATTTCCTATAATCTGTGACAGCCACAAGACCCAGACTGCAACCAGCAGCACACAGGGATGCACACTGGCTGCAGGTGAGGGAACAGGAAGCCAAACCTGCTGCTCTCTGGCAATGGCTCATTCCAGGGGTCTGAAAAAGCTGCTTTCTTGCCCACTGATGGGTAGCTGCTTTGGAGTCAGCACCCTGGATGGGTACAAAACCTCCCTCCTCCTGTGGACATTTCTCAACACAGAGACTGAGACAACAACCTAAGCCTCAATCAGGTACGAAGATGCTGCAAAACACAGTGGGCTGCTTGGTAAGTCCCTCTTCATCAAGCACTCAATATGATCAGATGTCTGCCAGCTCCAGCATATGAACTGGAACTCAAAAGGTTGGCCCTAAAGTCCAGAAAGTCCCAGCCTGGAAAATAAGATGGGTTTCTACAATCATTCATGCAGTCAAAGTCAGGGCAATTTCTCTGTGAAACTGCCTGTGGTTCCTGCAACAAGATTTTTTTCCTTCTAATAAAGCACAGCGTATCAAAATGAACATCAAAGGGAAGATTCCTGTCTTCAGTAAGAGGAATTTTTCAAAGATGACATCCTAGTCATTGTTAAAATAACATGGAGCTGCTGTCTTATGACACTCTGGTTTCTATCATGTCAGCAAAGTGGCAAAGACAAACCTGAAGAAAACATGCAAGGCAGATGTGTCAGCCTGAGTGCTCAGAGAGGGAACAAAACCAACCCACTCTGCTTTAGAAAAATCAGATCAAGGGCTTGTCAGATTTACTTTACTTAGAAAAGAAAACGTAGCCATCTCAAGGGTATGACTGTGATCCCAGCATAAGGTCCTTGAAACGCCACAGCTGAACTGCATCCAGCCACTGTAGCAGGAATATCTGAGCACCTTCCATGCTCCTGACATGAGAGCATGGGGTTGCACATCTAGGTGAAGGGTACAACCTAATTTTACTATTTTTTAAAAGCACTTTTTTTGTGCCTCTCAGGGTCTGTGTGGCTGCTACAGACCTCCATGCACTTGTCTTGGCACAAGGTAGCAGGGTGTTAGGCTGGACGGGACTGAAACCAAAGCTCCTTTCTACTCTGGGGTCACCAGACTGCTCCTTTCCCTGCTTGGGGCCAAGCACTGCTTCTCTGTCTGCTGGGAGAGGGGACAGCCATTTCCAGTCCCCCAGCATGAAGACAATGCCATCTCTGTGCCCAAGAGTCAACGACCATTTACAGGCTGTTATAAATAACATCCTTTATTCTACTACAAGAGCTCTGTGATTTTCTGACCCAAAGACCCTCAAACCCCACTTGCTGGTCCAACCCTTCGCCATCCAGCAAACCTGAGTGACGTCAGCCACAGTGTGCTTAACACACCCACTAGTTATTAAAGTAAATCCAAGATAGATGGGGATCACTAGTGCTCTACACCCCTCATGCCAGATTCTGTCTGTCCCCACCGGCTGACCCAGGGAAGCCAAGGTGTGCATCATTACCCGCCCCCAACATCCTCTAGGACCCAAGGGAATTCCCTGCACTGTGCTGGAATTCAGTGGTTTACCCACAAGGCCGCTAACCAATTAGTGCTAACTTCTAATTAGGAAAAAAACAAGCCACAGGAGAGCCTCTAATTTTGTCTGTGGAGCAGCACCAATGAACCAAACAATTAGAACCACCCTGAAGTAAACAAAAAGACTTAAAAGTCCCAAGCCCATCTACACCCCATCCCTGCTCTAATGAAGATGATTTTGTTTTGTTTTGTTTTGTTTTGTTTTAAAAAGGATGAGACTACAGCTGGGTGAACCAGACATCCCTCCTGATGGCTGGGCAAGGAGGATGCTCTGCTCGACATTATCCCTACAGCTATGCAAATATTCTCATCTGAGATATTTCTCTCTGCATAACCCTTTTAACCAAGCCCAAATTTCTCCCAAGGACTCTCAGCAGGAGCTAAAGCAATCCAGACAAACACCCACTCCTCCTGCTAAACATGAAGGCTATCTCTCTCCTTGATTTTCACACACAGGTGGACACAAATTTAACACCTAAATGGCTTTTCACAGGCACAGCTAGGAGCAAAATATGAAATCCAGGTGATGCTCTAGACAAATAATTCTTCCTCCAAGAAGAATTACAAGGAACATCAACTGGACCATATCAGTCACATCTCCCACATCATTCCCAGGAGGTGGAGACACAGAAGCAATCTGTGGCGTGCACTGCTCTCTGCTCTCACTGGGCAGGGACCCAGCTGGGCACACAAACATCTCTGCTGTGCTCCTGTTTGCACAGGGAAGCAGAAGTGCAAACCCATCAGCAGCGTTTAGGAAACCCTTTTTAAAACCATGTAAGTCAGAACAGGACTCTTCCTTCAACTGGTAACCCAGCAATTTCAAGGAAAGGTTTAAAATATTAAAGACCAATGAGTAGAATTAGGCACCGTTCCAGTGAACTCTGGTTTCTCTATCAACTTTTTGAAAGCCTGACTCATCATAAGGATGCATCAGACCCGCCCTTCCAGATACATGCTCTTTCTTTTCCTCCCTACCTTGTCACTGTTTCTGTATTTGCCCCATTTCTTCAGCATCTTAAGCCACTTGTCCACACGTTCAATTTCCTGCTGTTTTTGCTGGTGGAGGGAAGAGAAGACAAATTTAAGAAAAAAAAGCCCCAGAAGATACCTCCTGAAAACACAAAACTTCACTCTCTTAGGTTTAAACTTCTATGCAAAGACTTCACATTAGAGATGGGAATAATCCACTGCTGCTTGCAGAAACCAGTAATTTCAACCCATGGTAATTAAAAGTAGCATTGGTAAAAATAACAAGACACATAGGCTTAACATAGAGAAAGCATGTCCAAGAGGACTATTCCTTGACAATAAAAATATTTGCATGTTCAGCTAGCCTCAAACTGTATCACTGTATCAGACTGGTAGAAACGTGATGCTGCTGAGTCTTTGTTAGTAGGATCCTAACAGAGGACATGCTCTCATCTCAGGGGAGATGAGGATGGAGATGACCTCTTTCCCCTGCACATGCAGTCCCCTTTTCAAGCCACAGCTGCTGAGCACTCTGCCAAAGCAGAGGGAAAAGCCCAAAATTGCTTGAAAAGGTGCTTTTTCAGTGCAGTGTGGAGGAAGAGATGCCTGACCCAGGAATATAAAAGCTCCAACAGCCGGGCATCGTGCAGAGTTCCCACCTCTGGGCAAGCAGCAGTGACCAGTGGGTGCTGGCTGCCTGCTTCACTCTCACTTGCACACTCGTTTCCTCAAAAAACATTCCCTCCCCAGATGGTGTGATAAGGATGCCACATCCATGATGACCAAGCTGGCAGCTCTCACCTTCTCCTCCAAGGCGGTGCGGGTTGGCAGCTCCTGCTCACTGGAAAAGCAAGGGGTCACTGGTTACTTTGTGGGCAAGAAACCCCACTACCCAAGAGGAGTTCCTGGGGGGTAATCAAGCACTGGACATAACTGGAAATCCTGGGCGTATAGCTCCTCTTCAATACACACATCATAAGCAATTTAAAGTGTGAGGAAGCAGAATTTCTGGACAGCAATTTCTTCAAACCCCACTCCTACAAACAGAATGCCTACTATTATAACTTTTGTTCAGATTTGGAATAAAAATAGTTCTTTTAAGCATTCTTCCCAGGCACAGGGCGTGCATCTAATTCATCTGTGCCTTGCTTCGGATGGGGATTTCCTAAGGGAACCAAAGATGATCAGATATCTCGTCTCTTCCTATACCTCCCTGAATTGTTAGTGCAAATACAAGAGCCTCTCCCTCTGTGACAGACTGTGGTCCTTCACGGAGGCACCTTCTAACTGCCAGGCTTGTGATAGGAAACCATTTCTGAGCCTCGCCTCAGAGCAGATTCAAAGCATCAGAGTGTTTGAACATGCACAGTTGAGGAAGGAGGCCTATCTCGTCTTTCCTCCTGCATTTGGGATTGATCAAGCCAACCCACAGAGCAGCTTATAGGAAAGATGCTGGGCCTGTCATGCTTGGTGCAGAAGGATGCCCTGCACACACACACAGGTCAGAGGAGACAGGATTGGGCAGGAGGACTTACTGTAGGAATCCAAACCGGTCTGTAACTTTATACAGGGTGAAATCAGCATCTTCCCAGTGGTCAATCGGAGCTCCTTCCTGTCTGCCCTGAAAGCAGAAAGGACATTTGTGAGCTGGTCCCAGCATCAGGAATGACCTCATCCCACCCCCCAAAGCCCATATCCCTCTCTCCCTGCATGCTGAAAGGCACAGAGCGAGAAATGCAAAACCTGTGCTAAAGAGACAAATACAACACAGGCAAGAGAAAAATGGGCAAGTTCAGCCTATCCAGCATTCCATGCATGCCTCTGCTACAGGCTGGGAAGGGCTGTGCATCAGAGAAACCAGTGCTGTCGGGCACAAGCTGTCCTGATGTTAAGGGAGCACTGAAGCACTAGAAGCCCAGCACCTTTTGGGATCTGTACTGAGCACACACAGGATCCTCAAGACACTCCAGGGATGTAGTGAAAGGAGAATGTAGAGTGCAGGCAGAAGAATGCAGGGAGAGTTGGCATGAAGCCTGATGGCATGAGGGTTATTATTGGGGCAATGTCTGCAGGGAAGCAATTCTTATTTGAAGCATTCCTATCTACTAAATAGTTTCAGCCTTAGCCAGCAGGCTGGGGAGAGACTCAAGGTTGGTACCTTCTCATACTTGGCAACGATCTCTGCTTTTTCCTGGGCTATTAAAGACTCTATATCCTTCTTCATATCAGAAGCTGTAAGAAAAAAAAAGGGGGGGGGGAGAGAAAGGAGATACATAAATGTGTAGACACCATGAGAAATATTTAGAAAAGTGCTAATACAAAACATGTTTGCTGACAACTTTAGTTGCCATCCATATCACAAAGCTGAAATTAGGCTGAGGTTGAAAAGCTACTGTACAAAGCATTTGCAGGGCTTGCCTGCACACAGCAGGACTGCCAGCTCCCCACTCCCTGCACAAGGACACAACCGAACCTGAGCAAGGGGGAGGCTAAAGCCAGGCCACTGCAGGCCACATTACCCAAATCTTTGGACCATTGCAGCTCTCTAACAGATACCAGGAGCCATCCTGGCCTCCCTTTAGGAGGAACAAGCAGGATTCTTGTCATTGGACAGCCTACCCCAGCTTCTGGTTGAAGCTGCATCTCAGCAGTGGTGCTTGCCACCAAAACGAGCCAGAGCAGCCAAAGGCGTCACACTTGTGATCTTCTGAAGGATGTGATCATTCCTTGAGGGGAAAAAATCTGGGGGAGATATGACGAGCAAAAGCATCAGCACTCTCCAAGGCTCAGCCCACTTCTCCACACCTTCAGACATCTGCAAGAGATTACTTGTCTCATCTTAACAACTCCTTAATGCAACCTGCTTGTTGCCACGTCTTTCAGGCATGGATGGAGATGGCTGGGAGATCCATCTTTCCCTCATTCTTCATTTTGGAAGCAGTTGCCAGCAGTGTGATAGAAATACTATACCACATGCAATATAATCAGGGCTATCAGGACAGCTCTTTAGTAACCTATTACCAGCCAGCAGCACAGGCATGGCACCAATTGACACTAATCCGTACAGACACTGGGAAAAAGTAAATTCTTCAAATTCATGACAGGAATGAGTGTATCTTTCCCCATTACTGACAATTGAAACAGAGCAAGGATGAAAATATTAAAGTGTATTTTGTTCTTTTATTTTTCCAAGCTGAAGCTCTTACTTGAAGCATGAACTTTGCTCAATACATTTTAATCACAGCTTAATTTTTCAAAGTAGCAAGATCTGAGTAACTGTCTCACAGTGTCACCTGATATATCTGCATCTCCTCCTTCTCCTGTGAAGTTTAACTCAAAGGCAATTCCACTCCCCCACTTCTGACACTTTTTTTTTGGTTGTTACAAGGCCAAAAATTTCAAATGATGTCCTTTATGTGCTGCTAAAAATACAAATATTCTGCAGGCTACAGGGAAAAAATAAACTGTACGTCAAATTAAATGGGAAATTTTTCAAGAGTTGACAAAGTGAAAGCTATTCTGAACATCTATGACCACACTCTGTAATAGAATAACCAAAGGAAGAGCAACTTGGAGAGCAGCAAGAACACATATATTTTGGCATCCACCTCTGCAAAAGCCTCTCTGCAGCCAGAAACACCAGACTGGTGCAAACGAGCCAGTTTTGCATCTCATGCCTGGAGTATGCACATTTGTTTTCCCTTTCTACTATAATAGTACAAAACTCCAAATTTAGGAAAAAACTTGAAAGCAGAGAAAATGGTTGATGGCAGTCGGAAGGACGGAGATGGCAAGTGGCTGCACCAGCCTCATCTGATCACAATACTGCTGCTTTGTGGAGTACAGAGACAGTGCTGTGCTCAACAAGGTGATTTTCAAATACTCTAGAGAGGGAACAGAATATAGCTTAGCTCTGTAATAGCCTATACTGAATATGGATTTTTTTTTTATTTCATTCTGCACATACTCAAACTCCAGACTAGTTTGACACCATGAAGTTATATAGCATTTGCTTGAGGAAAATGACACCTTGTGTACATGGAAACTACTGAGACATTTTATTTCCTGAAGGGTTTGAGGAAACACATCGTTTTTTTCCTTGATATAAACAGGCTTCCTACAAAAAGAAACAGGCTGTACCTGCCATGCTTCTCCATATACCTATATATGACTGCATACTTTCTTTTTTTTGTAATACCACTCAAATTATTTTCTCAAGCCTGACACCCAATTTTCTCCCACCAGTACTGTATTTTCCTAACAAACAGATTTTTTTTTCCTTAACAAACACACAAGATGAAGCTGCTATGAACAGGAATGGTAAGAAAACGTGAACAATGCGACAATGGTATTACATAAATTTACTGGGACATTAGCAACAGAAAGCTCCAAGCCATGCACACTTAAATTCAACTGGGAAACAAAGTTATCAAGTAGTTCCTTTTAAAAAGGACAAGTTGAAAACACCCACAATCTGTAATCTCACACTAAAACTTGCAGCTTCCAGTTTACAATTTAAGGAAGTAAAAATTAATCCCAGCAAGAGTAAGCCTAAAGATGCTAAATGAAAATGCATGTTACTACCTACCTGCATTGAACACTAGCTAGCCATCAGTAAACCTGAAATAAAATACCAAATTTTTGGATGAAAACAACCTTCCTGAAATTAATTCACCAGCTGGGATCTCAAGTATTGGCAGCGGGAAGAAGGTGTCTGCATCAAAAATCCAAGACTTTATGTTCTCCATAAAGCAGATTTACTGTTATAACCTTCCCCATATTCTTCCAGTCAAATCTGCCGAGCTCCCATTGCCCCACATGAGGTGGTACCCAGTGGGACCAGCCTGGCTGGGAGCATGGGAACCTCTGCCCAGCAGTCACCCAGGCCATTGCTGCAACCCTGCTCGCTGCCCAGACGAAGAACCAAACTTTTCCCATGGCCCAGCAACAGTGCTCTCTGTGACACAGCCCAGGACACACACACATGTCCCCTGCCACCACCAGTCACAACTCTATCTCTCATCCTTATAAATCCATTAACAATTGCCCTGCCAGTACTTGCACCAAGTGTCACGTGGCAGAAGGGCTTTTGGAAATGAAAATATCAGTAAAATCTCTTTTTAGGAAGCATAGCATAGCAACGTGTTCTCAATCTTGTGCTGGATTTGAGGATATTCTGGAATCCAATTTTTAAATTTTTTGTACTGTAAAACAGCATTTACTCAAGCTATTTAAGATTAAGACTATCTCTTTTGGTTATTTGGCAGGAGATCATTGAAAAAGGAGAAATGGTTTTAGGTAAACGTGTGTTCACATTCTGAATGTGCCCATTTAACTTTAAATAGAGAGTGCTGCTAGGAGAAGAAAAAAAAAGCACATTTTGACACACTGTACTTCACCATCATTCTGGCCTCTATCAGACTGAAACTACCGCTGTAGAATAAAGTAAAAAAGGTATATACTTACTACAACCACATCCACCACTGCTGAAACTCAATAAGTCACTGTTCCTGTTTCATGTTCTATTTTAAAAGAATATTTTAACACAGCATTTTATGTCTTTAGCCATCTATGTTATAAGCCTACAATTTTTCCTTTAGAGAATAGTTTTAAAGGAAAGGCTTATGCATCTATGCAAATGAAAATGCTTATACAACATCTTCTAAGAGGTGAGACCCTCTCACGACTCACAACTGCAGTCTGCACCACTTCCCAGCAAAGTACTGCTTTCACTTGTAAAGCCAGTATTAGCTGTAAGGTGACTCGTGCACTTGCACGCCATGGAATAAACCTGGGCATGCAAAGCAGTGCAAGGGGCTAAAAATCCCTATTGTGGCTTTTTTAAGTGCACGAAATGCACCTCGACACCCTTCACACCACACAGACTCATGGCTTGGAGCAAACTGCCCATCCTGGTTGCCTGGTAAAATTTACCAGGCACAGTCAGCAGCTGCAAGCTGAGGGGGGCTGCCACCAGAGGCTCTTCTCCCACATGCTTAAAGCCTTTCAGAAGCAAAGCCGTGGGGTTACACCACTGCACGTACCTACCAAGCACAGCCAAAATGAGCATGGCTTTTGGACTGCTTCAACTGCATCACCATGGCCCAAGGAAACCCTAGAGCTTCCCAAGACATCCAGGAGGGGCTGTGGGCTGTTGCAGACAGGCGCTGGCACGCATGGCTGTGTGCCCTGTGCCCCAGAGGTGATGAGATGAGGAGGAAGTGATGGCCACAGGCTCCTGACTGCAGGTAGAGCTTCTGCTTCATGAGAACCAGCCCCCACGTGAAAGTCAAGCTGCTCCTGAGGTCTTGGTACAAGACTGACCAGCATCTCCACCTCCAGTGTTGCAGTGTTGCTGCTGCTGCAGTATTTTTTTTACTAGAAACCCAATTCCTATTCCAAAACGGACAACACACTCAATGAGCTTGCATCAGGCACATCTGCTGATCCCATCTGCAGTTCCTCTCTCACTAACAAACCCAGACTGCAAACATCCTGGCCAGGCACCGGCTTCAAAACAACATATCACTGGTCTGTGCATCACCAACCTTAGCCCAAACCTGGCACACGCTAAAACCCTGCTACTGGAACGGAAATCAAGACCTGCACTCACAAAGTGAATTATGACTTCAGGAATGAAATTACTATCAAGCAGGATGAACCAAGATACAGGACATCCTGTTTGCATGTTTATTTCCTTGACTACAATCCAAGAGCACACAAGCAAGCTTTTTTGTTTGTTTGAAGAGCATAAGGAGCACCAGCTGAATTGCAGGGAGGTTTATGTTTTAACTGTCTTGGGGTCTTTGAAAATGACTGCACATAGATCACTTTAGATGAATCACAGATGTGTTACAGAAAATTCAAATGAGCTCCTGTCCTAGTAAACTTGCATTGTATCTGAAACTGCACAGGATGCTGTGCTGGATAAATACACGGTCAACTCCTACAGCAGAGGTACTTGGGAACACCCAAGGGAGAACTGCAACTCACTTTGATGCCATCAGCAATATCCCAACAAATCAGGGGATTCAGCATCACTGCAGATGAGATCCTGCTGATTTATTAGCATGTGTACCCACAGCACACAATGGCTCTCAGGGTGATTCTCATCTGCTCCAGAGCCAGTTTGTGAGTTCAGAGAAGACAGGATGAAAATACAGCCCAGCTCCAAGCTCCCTTACCTGAGCGTTGTATCAGGTGCCGAGATGCATCAGCTCAGCTGGAGTTGTCCACTCCCCTGCAGGCATCTACCTGGCAGGAGCCAGCTGTCCCTGTCGTGGGGTGGCGAGGACCCCCAGCAGCCGCAGCGCACTGGTCAAACGCCCTTCGGCTCACTCGTGCTGCCTCAGCTCTGTGCAGTGGCTCTCCTCCACCCTCCGCTTCTCTGGCATGTGAGAGCTCACTGTAGGTGGCTGGGAGAAAAGGCAAGGCAGGAGGCAATCCACATGTGTGCTCTCTTGTCCCCCAGGCTCACTGCAAAGGAAATAAGAATTTAGTAAGCTTTACAGTTCTGGCATGATGAAGGCTCGATCCTTTACCAGAACAGGGGTCCTTCCACACGGAGGAAAAGGCAGGTCCCACTGGAGCAGGCAGCAAGAGCCTGGTGGGGAGGGAACAGCCTGTAACAACAGGGGACCCAATGGCAGAAGGTAAACTATGCTCATCCGCATTGCAAAAAAAAAAACCTCAGTGTGGTTTTCCTGGCCTTTTCTGGCCTGGTTGAGTGCCAAGGGATAGAGGGGCTTCCCCTGCAGGTCTGAGAATCCAGCACACCTTTGTACCAGCAAGCCTGTTGTACCGGCAACTCAGCAAGCAGAATATGCCCCCAGCCTAAGTCAAAGGCACAGTATTACACCCAACTTCAGCTGATCTAAGAGCATGTTGCCACCAAGAAGGGCTGTAATGGAGTGTCCAGGCCATTCCTGTGGACTTTGGTCAGGTTAAGACCATTAATACAATATCACTGACTCGCATGGCAGAACAGCTGGCACCGGTCGTGCCACCTGAGCCACCTCCCAGCCCTTGCAGCTCCTACCTGATACATCCAAACAGCTAACACAGTTCAAAGGACACCAGAGCCCAACATATAGCTATTGTTTATAAAAAACCCCAAGGTTTTAGTTCTCACTTTCAGCAATTCAGAGAAGCAAAGCACTGGTTTCACAAGTGCGAACTCAAGACATCACCCCAAAGCACGATGCTCTGTTTGCAACCAGCGAGCACCGGGACAGGAAGCACAGCTCACTGTCATGAGCAGCCACTTCAACGCCATCTCTCCTCCAAATCCCCACACAAGCACCTGGGAATGGAGCTATCCCCACATTCCTGGGCGGTTCTGTGCTGAATTTCCCTGCTGTCACCCCTCCAGCACCCAGATACAACTTGGAGACCCCAGAGAGCAGAAGACCTTGCACTCTTTCTACCTAGAGGTGGCCACCTTTAAAAACAAACAACCCATAACACAGATTACATTTTATGTAAGTGATCACTGAGTAGGTTATAATGTGGCTTAAATGCATTATAATGCAGATTACACACATTTCCCTCTATTCTCCCAATTTGCACCAAGTTTTTACAGTACAATGGCAAGCTGTGGTCACAAGATAATAATACTTTGCCACTAGACTATGGCAGTATCAAGAAACCCAAATACATTGGCCAAGTCTTCTAGATAGAGAAATAACTAAAACCATGTAAGACTGCAATTACATGCCATCCCATCCACTCATCACAACCTGGTAGCACTGACAGTAAATAAAACCTCAACCCTCTCCCCACCACCCTTCTTCCTGTGCTCCCAGTACTTACGTCTCACTCTCATTTTCACACACATTTTTGGTGCTGTGCCTTGGCAGTCAGGTTAAGATCTTCCGCCCAAGGATGGAGATGGGAGGAGAGAAGCAAGAGGGCTAATACAGGGATTTGCTCTCCTCCCTGCTTACGCTTGGTAAGCCCAGCCTTAGTGCTTCTGCACAGCTCAGCTGTTGCAATGTCAGAAGATGCAGCTTTAGACATAAGCTAAACCCTCTGAGCAGAGCAGTGAGTCTATAAGCAATTCTTTGTCAGCTTCTATTTTTAGACCTCACAGGGAACAGAAGAGCATCCGAACACTTTTTAAGCTTTTTAACATGAACTCATCTTCTACAGACAACAACAGCAAAAAAAGCCAAACAGAAGACCACACAAAAATCCCAAGATGCATGAATTATTTTTTTAAAGCATCATCATTTAAATAATTTTTCATTTAAAAAAAAGAACTGAAGAATGCAAAAGTCCACATGCTGCTTTGGGAACTGAAGATTAATTTTCTCTCTGCACTCCCTCTTCCTTCCATTTCAGTGGCTATAAAAAGGCCAAAAAAAAAGCCAGAGGGAAAATGAAAAAAAACCCCTCTTTTTTCGGGTGATGCACTGACCTGGAAAGGAACTATATAAACACAGTGCTTAGGAACTGGCTTCTTCTGTTTGCTTAAGACTGTAAGAGCAGTTTACTTCTCTTTAACTATAAACTAAAGGATGCTACAATGATGGTCATTCTCCATTGGACATGCATTCCTCTTAAAATACTGTATTTTATTCCTTTAGGTAAATGTAGCAACACCAAGGGACACAATACTTTTCCTTTTTACCATCCCCACTGTCATTCTTGCCTCCAGCTATACTTGGCAATTTTGGGTAAGCTAAAGGCTCCTTTTGCATCTTCTTTTGCTATTTAAAACTTTTCCTGGTTTTGGCTTGGCAGGCACTGTCAGCTAGAGGCCACCCAAACCTAACACGTGCCCGAAGCGGCAGGGTGAGGACACGTGTCCTGGCTGATACCCAAGACGTCACCCTGGGCTCGGTGGAGCTAACGATGGTCCCTAGCCAAAACCCAAAGAACAAGGATGCAAACATAAGCTATCATGCTGCCGGCAGCCTGTGCTCTCTTTGGCACAGACAGGCAGCACCTTTTTTAAAACACATACAAATAACAATTGTACCATTATATAAAGTCACTGGGACATCCGATGAAATAAAGGAGTAGGAAGTTAAAAATCTACGAACAAGATGCAGCTTGTCCATGAAAAACTTGTCCAAAATAACTATTAAGGGGAATGACTTATAAGTTATAGATATCTAAGCTGAGTTAAAGTGAGACTTATGCCCCTATGCTGACCGTGTAGGTCTTGCACTGCTTGCCAGAGCCCCTGGCTGCACCCCATTTTTAGGAGGGGAGGCAGCTTCAGCCATTAGGCTGACCCAGACTAATGCCCAGCCCCTAGGAAAATATGTGTTTTAAATTACATTCTCTGAGTACCACCCTCATTCCTTCAATCATTTTAACGAGTTTAATCAGCTCACATTGCCTCCAAATACAGAGCCCTTGCAGTAAATTATTTGTATTTGGCAGCCTCTGCAGAGGACACTCCCTGATCATTTTGCTGGCAGTCCTCTGGACTTGCATTATTTTCCAACAGCATCTCTGGATGCTAATGGGCGAAGTTTTGTTAACTTCTTTTCTACCAAAGCCCCATGTAAGCGTATCCAACAATAGAAAACTTCAAAGAAATAAGAACTATTTGATCCAACACCAGAAAGGACTGAGAAAATGTCTCCCAAAACTTTTTTACACCCTTGAACTACACGCTGGCTGTCTCAGATCACCTTCTTGTCTTACATGTGCCTTAACATTGCTTCCATGAGGACCTGTTCCATGATCTTTCCAGCCACAGAGGTACGGCTCATTGGTCTGTAGTTCCCAGGGTGCTCCTTTCTACCCTTCTTAAAAATAGGAGTGATGTTTCCCTTTTTTCCAGTCACCATGGACTTTGCCTGACCACTGTGACTTTTCAAATATGATGGACAGTGGCCTGCCAACCACATCAGCCAGTTCCTTATGGATCCTGAGATGCATCTCATCAGGCCCCACAGACTCGTGCCTAATGAGTTTCATCAGGTGGTCTCAAACCTGCTCTTTGCTTACAGTATGAGGGACTTCACTGCCCCAGTCCCCACCCGGAGGTTCAGGGACTTGAGAGATGTGGGAAGCCCGACTGCCAGTGAAGACCGAGGCAAAGGAATTGTTGAGTACCTCAGCCTCCTCCACATCTTTTGTTACCAGTTCTCCCTTCTCATAATGGTTGTCTTGCCTTTGAGGAAATTTTTCATGTAAGAAGTCCTCCCCTCTTCTCTTAGTGGAAAACATGTTTATAAAATCCAACCAGAGGTGAAGACTTAAGGCAGAGGTAATATTTCAGCTTATGAAACGGTCAGGTAGGACACCCTGTTAAAAGCAGCTTGCCAGCTTACAAGTCAATATAAAAATAACTCAAAGATTCTTGAGTTCTTTTAATAATGTTGAAATCAACACCTCTGTCATTTGGTCAGGGCTCCAAAATACATTTTACAATTCACAGTGTGTTTGGCTGCTACCACTTTACTGTGGTCAGTGTAAAACTAGACCTGCCACTGGGGTTGAAAGATAGATAAGCAACTTCCCAGCCAGAGAAAATTAAACGGTACTGATGTTTTGGAGTAAGCCATATTACTGCAGCAACAGCTTCTGTACTGAAGTTATCAGTTCAATGAATTGATGCTCAGGGGATTGGTGAAAACAGAGCTGGGCAGGTTGGTGTTGGATGCCGGTAAGAGTTAAGTGTGGAAGAAGATGCAAATTTCCCAGTCCCCAGCAAAGCCCTAACGCTGGTAGCAGGCAGCTGGTGAGGTGCCATGCCAGGCACTGTGACAAGGGCTAAGCAGCATCAGCTCCCTACCATCAGCACAGCCAAACCACTGCTCCTGAAACTGTGGTCTGACCCACCCCCAGCCAACCACAACCCCATGCAAGCGTGGCACACATCTCTCTGTGACTGCAGCTGGGAGTGCCCAGTCCCAGAGCAATGCCTTGCAGATCCCCCATCCAGGGATGTAAACAGCTGGTGCCTCTGCATGTGAGCTTGGGGGATAAAATGAGTCTTATCTCCTCCTCCACCAGCCCCACATTCACCCCAAAAACCCCAACACCACTTCTTTGCTTGCAAACACAGCCTCAGCACTTGGGAAATTTCCTAATTAGCTAAACACCACTCTGCAGGCTTGGCAAGGATTGCTGACATCACCACACTGCCATCCCACAGGCTTTACCATAATGGCAGTGCTTTCCCCCAACCCTCAGCAGCGAGGTCGAGCCCCCAGCAGGCACACCTCCATCAGGGAGATGGCAGAACACTGCCACACTTCATGGCATGTACCACCATGTAACAGTGTATACCACCAGCATCCCTAGGGCACCTCAAATCAGTGCGAACCACAAATTCAGGTTTGCCAACTCAGTGTCTTCCTCACCCCTGGCTTGGAAACCACCTGTGATGTTGTGATCATCATGGGGAGGCATGAATTCAGCTTCGTTTATGAGGGGAGAACACTATGCCTGAGCACATTATCTGGCTCAATCCTTATTTAACACCATAAAGGACTCAGAGGTGAAAGAGCAGC